ATTTTTTATTGGACAGGGATGAGACAAGATGTGGAGAGGTTTGTGGCTAATTGTCAAGTGTGCCAACAAAATAAGCACGAGACTTTAAACCAGCTGGCCTCCTTCAACCTCTACCAATTTCGGAGCATGTATGGGAAGACATCTCAATGGACTTCATCGGAGGGTTACCCAGAGCAAAAGGGGCAGACAGCATCATGGTGGTCGTGGATAGATTGAGCAAATATGCCCATTTCATTCCTTTACTCCATCCTTTTGCTGCTAAGGAGGTAGCTGAAGTATTTATAAAGGAAATAGTGCGCTTACATGGGTTTCCCAGCTCCATTGTTTCAGACCGGGATAGAATCTTCATTAGCTCATTTTGGAAAGAGCTTTTTCATCTCTCAGGCACAAAATTGAAATTCAGTTCCGCATACCACCCTCAAACGGATGGACAAACCGAGGTAACAAACCGCACCATTGAAGCTTATCTAAGATGTTTCATTGCTGATCCTCCCCGTCAATGGGTAAAATGGCTGCCATGGGGAGAATTTTGGTTCAATTCATCATTTAATGCTTCGATCAAAATGACTCATTTCAAGGCTTTGTATGGTCGTGACCTTCCCCTGATCAACCCTTATTGTCGGGACAACACAGTAGTGGCGGAGGTGGATAGGCTGCTGCAGTTTCGGGATAGTATCCTAGAGGAACTCAAGCAACATTTAATTAGAGCACAACTAAGAATGAAGGAACAGGCAAATAAGGGCAGACGAGAAGTGAAGTTCCAGATTGGAGACATGGTATACTTGAAGGCCAGGCCATACAAACTGAAAACATTGGCCAAGAAAATTAATGAAAAATTGAGCCCAAGATTCTATGGGCCATTTCGTGTGGAAGAACAAATTGGAGCTGTTGCTTACAAGTTGTTGCTGCCAAAATCATCCCGTTTGCATCCCATCAAACGGGCGCCTCCAACTAGCCCAGCTGGTCAAGCATTGCCACCATTTTTGACAGAGGAATTAGAGCTTCAGGTTGAACCTGAGGAGGTGCTGGATGCCAGGCGGTTGTTGAATGGTCGTTGGGAGGTGCTTGTTAAATGGATGAACCTGCCTAAGGAGGAGAGCACGTGGGAAGAATATGAACTGCTGCAAGCCATCTTTCCCCAATTCAACCTTGAGGACAAGGTTCCTCTCAATGGGGGAGTATTGTTGGGTCTAAACCAATGGGACCCCCATTAAAAACATACCAAAGAAAGAGGGGCAGAATAGGGAAGTCAATTCAGAAAACAGTTAGGCAAGATGCTAACAATCTAACACACGAGCGGACGTGGCAAGGGGAGGAAAGGAGAGATTGTGTGGAGTGAGAGGGAATATATGGGGGTCGCACAATTGAGAAGGGGGGGATTTTTATCTGGGTGGTTATTGGAAGGATACTGAGGCTATTTCGCATTCTGTTTTTTGTATTGTTGTTTGTTCTTGTAATTCCAAGGTCTTCCCTGTGTTTTGTTCTGTTATTTCAATATAAATCTCAGTTCCTATCAAAAACGCAAAGCCAGTTTCACATTCAAGTAAATATAAAAGGAAAGCTCAATAACAAGCCCTTTTACCACACAGGTGCAAGCTTTTATTTACACAGGTGACTGTTCTTAAATATGCAGACTAACATAAGTTTAATACCACAATATTCATCACAAACTATGAAGCGCATACACCTCTCTTTTGAAGTGTCAGACACATTATCAGCACCAACACCTGTTAGACACTTGTTCAATATGCATGGGACACTCCTCATAAATGTCTAATTAAAAAAATGTTTTTAGTTAACTCTAACACTTAAGCTCACACCTCTGTAGAGCTCAAACTTGGACCAACACTTCAATATGAATGAACACATATTAGTATTATTGAAAAATATTCATTATTTTAACTTTTAGAAAAGTTAGCTTGAAATATAATATAAAATTTAAAAAATAATGCCTCTTATTTTTTATAAGGCTTGTTATCATAGAAAAAGTATGAAACTTAGCATGTTGGTTTGAGAAGGTGAACATGCATTTTTATGAAAAATATAATTTCATCTTAGTTTTGGAATTTTTGTAAAGAGCCAAGTGGTTATATTGTAAAATAATGTCTTTTAATATTCGTTTGTGAGGCTTATTCATATACAGAACTGCACGTGTATGTGTGTGTGTGAAATCCTAGTTTCTTATATCTTAAACATAAGCTGTGTTGCAGTACCGTGTTCTGTTTGGGGACTGCATCCATGCTTCATAGTTCATCAAACCCTCCTCCTAAAGAAAGTTCCGTGCAGCATATTGACAAAATTAATCACCACACATTCCATATTCTCACTGAACTCAACTAATTACAATCATGCCCTAAACATTGCCTCAATAAATCACAAAAAACACTCTCCTAGATAGCTAGAAAGTAAAATTAAAACCTCAAATTAGTCCCTAAAAGATAAAAAAAATCTTTCAATTAGGTTCATTTCAAAAAAAAATATTAAAACGAATAACACTAATAACACATCCAATACACTAACTAAAATTTATTGAAAACTAAAAAATAATATAAATCTCACTTTTTCCCACTCATAATTTTTTTTTTCTGGTATAATTTTCAATAAACTTTAACTAACAATTAAGAATATATTAAAGAATATATTGCTAGCATTCTTTTATTAAAATTATTCGCTAAACGTGTGGTATGCTATTTATTTTAATCATTTTGTTAGAATTTGTTAATTATTTCTTTTAAAAAAATAGTCATGTAGCACGTTAAGTTGAATATGAAACGCTAATATATTTTTAACATTGTTGATTAAGAATGCTACAACATAAAATATTAAAAAATATTTTATTTTTGTCGTTCATATAAGACTAATAAAAATATGCACAAAAACGAAGTATTTCTCCTAGTTACCTTATGATGTAACATCCTTAATTGACAAAATTATATACACATTAATGTGTCACATTGCTATTAACATGCCACATCACCATTTTGTGATAATTAATTAAGAAATTCTAAAAAAAAGACTAAAATAAATGAAATACCACACATTCAACGAATTAATTTTAATATTCCTTCTCTCGGAAGACAAATTGAAAAACTTCTTATTTTAAGGAAACCATTTGAGAGTTTAGTGTTAAAAAAATAAAAGGTTTTATAACAGTAAAACTTAATTAACATAAAAATATTTATTATACTTTATAACTTATAACTTTGATATAATAAATATTTACTTTTGTCATAAATTTTTTTAATAGATGCTTCAACTCAAGTTTAAGAGTGAGCTTAACAGAATTCAGAAATAAAAACCAATTATATTCATCACATTACAAACCCAATTCATTTTTTTATTTTTTTATTTTTTGAGTTTTGTTAAGTGTCAATTCTAGAATAAGCAACTAATAACAATGCATATCCATACAGCAAAGCCAGCAAATAAACACTTTCAATCTCCATACCTGAAGCACCATCAGCATCTTCATTCCTTCTCAGTCTAAGAGGTGCAGAGCCATAACCACTAATTCCAATCACTTTCTTTCTCTCACCACAAAACTCTCTCTGGTTCTCCCTCTTTTCTTCCAAAACCTCAACCTTTTCACTTTCCACTTCACCACCACCCTCAAGATTGCACCTTTGAAACCCCACTTGAGCCTTCTCAACCTTACCATTCAAACCAAACCCATTACCATTCTTTACCACCTTATCCTCACACCTATCTTGCGTCACCTTCTGCAGCTCCAACTCAACACTGATCCTTTCCAACTTCTCAAAATCGATTCTCTCTTTCAGGCACCCAATTTCCCTCTCCTTCTCTTCAATCTCTGCCTTCAGCCTCGCTTCCCTAGCCACCAGGGCCTCTTCGACTCGGTCGAAATCGCTACTCAGGAACGAGTCTCGCAACTCGGAAACCAACTCGGAGATACTCATGCGGTTAAGCTGGCTCCGGTCAACCAACCCGAACAATTGACCCAACCCGGTTTTGGATTCGGGTTGGGGAGCCATAAGTGTGTTCCAAAGTTGCAAACTTTGTACGTGGGAATGACAGAAGAAGTGGCACTGTCACTTTGTACAAAGCGAACGTAGTTTACAGTTACGAGACAAAAAGGAAAGAATGTGACTGACTGAACTATTGTGTTTGAAAAGGATCTGGTTTATGAGATTTTGCAGTGGAAAAAGTTCAAGTGTTTGAGTTCGAGTTAATTTGCATCATTGATTTTAAATTTAATGGACAAGATTTCACCACAACAGACATGATTCTCTCTTTTTTTTAAAAATAATAAAATTTTGTTCATTAAATTCCAAATCAATCATTTAAATTTACTCAAAATCCGCAACTTCTTTTATCATAAATTTAGAAAATCCAAATTTGTTTGAAAAACTGAATAATAACAAATTTATCTTAGAGATTATATAAAATTACAAAATCTAACAAATTTCTTAAAAATACTGATTAAAAAAATTAAAATAAATATTTTATTAAAAATATAAAATTGTGCTTTTTTTTTCATCATTATTATGTACTTTTTTGAAATTTCACTTAAATATCAAGTGTAAAAACAGCATGATAACACTTTATTATAATTTTTTGTTTAAAATTACAAAAATTGATATAATTTAGTGTTTAAATACTATAGTTTTGATAAAAATTTATTAATATAATTTATTATTTTGTACAATATTGTGCCTAATAAAAAAATTAATTATTAATTATCAACCTAGTGAGTATTTGGTGAATTGAACAAATAAAATCTAGTAATATAACTAACTAATAAGATGTCAATATATTTTCTTTCTTGATTAAAGAAGTCATAGTTAGCAAGTCTTTCATTTTATAATTAATTTTTTTCAATATAAATTTAAAACACACAATAAAAATTTACATACCATAAATTTTATTAAAAGTATAAAATATAATACATTGATAATGTTAAATATTATTATTTTATTATACATTTTCAAGCACACGATAACAACTGTTTACATGTATTTATTCTTTTGCTGTGAGTACCCTTAAATGGCATCTGAGTGATAAGTGATAGGAACCAACCACAAATCATGTTTTCTTTTTACACTCAAGCCAAATGATTCAGACATGTCAAGTTCTTCAGGCTTTTTTCCATCAGGCATCTTCCAGTCAAAATGGAAAAGCAAATTTGCAAGTGATATTTGAATGTTCGCAATACCAAATGCAATGCCTGGACACATCCTTCTTCCAGCACCAAAGGGTATAAACTGAAGATCCACCCCTTTATAATCAACTGAGCTATCAATAAACCTTTCTGGATAAAACTTCTCAGCATCAATCCAGTAGTTAGGATCTCTACATATTAACCACGCATTAACAATGACCCTGCTCTTGGCAGGTATCTCATACCCTTTAATTTCACATCTTTCATGGCATTCCCTTGGAAGTAACAATGGAACAGGAGGATGTAGACGCAATGTTTCTTTGATAACTGATCTTAAGTATTTCAGCTCATGAAGACTTTGTTCATCCACGTACCCTTTTTCATTATATACCCTTCTTACCTCAGCTTGTGCTTTTTCCATCACAAGTGGGTTTTTCATCAATTCTGACATTGCCCACTCTATGGTTGTAAATGTGGTGTCAGTTCCAGCACTAAAGATGTCCTGAAAGAGATCATGTAGCAATCAAAATACTCTATCTATTGATAAAATTTTAAATCAATTTTTGTATAAGTTACAGATATATTTATTCATATTAGATGACACATTGTCAGTGTATTTTAATTAAATTTTGAAATATATTATTTCAAAAAATAATTAAGATCTTGTTATAAAACAATTTTCAATTCCGTCCTTATATGTAGCCATTTTCTTATATTCATAGAAATGAAGGTGATTGATCTTTGGAGTAATCTACTGTAGAAATATTTGACGAACTGATATAATAATATCATAATATTTGAAGAACCGATTTAATGGTTTCCTAAAAAAGTGCAGCAACCTATGATGAGTAATAGAAACAATTTTAGCAACTGTCCAAAAGTTTCTAAATTCTAACCAAAATGGATTCTTAGAAAACAATGCAAAAAACTCTACTTCAAGACCAGCAATAGGAATCCCGTTTGCCTGCTCGGAGCAATTATAATATTGAAACAAAAATTTTAAAAAAATCATCTTGAACATATTTTATTTGATTTACTAATATTGATAATTAATCAGACTCTAAAAGTAACATACTAACCAAAATTGTTGCTTTGATAATGATATCTGTCAAGGGATGTTCAAGATCACTATGCTTCTGAAGCTTTAAAAGAACATCAACTAGATCTTCCCCAGCTTCTTCACTTGCCGTTGTTTTCAAAATATTGTCCCTATGACTTCTTACAATGTTCTCTAGTATCTTGTCCATTTCATGATGCAGCTTCTCAAGTTTATGCCTAAATCCTGTAACAACTTGAAGAACTTCAATAGAAGGAAACAGATCAGCAACAGAGAACCCTCCAGCCACATTTGACACGTCCTTCAATAGTTCTCTATACATTTTTTTACCATTGGATTTTGCACCAAAAGCAGTTCTTGATGTCAATCCATATGTCAATGAATCAACCTTCTCACTGAAATTGATGAGTGACCCTTCACTCAAAATTATATCTTTGACCAAATTTGACAATTCTTCTTCCCTAACTGATCTAAAGGACTCAACACGTTTTGTTGTTAATAGCTCCACAGTGCAAATCTTTCTCATTTGTCTCCAATAGGTTCCATGCGGAGAAAAAGTCATCCCCTTAGACCCATATGTGATTACGTCTGCTGCAAGAAGAAGAGGCCTATTTGCAAAGTTGATGTCATGTGTTTTCATCACTTCTTTGGCCATTTCAGGAGAAGATACCACTATGTTTGAAAGCTCACCAAGTTGCACATGCATAAGAGGACCATATTGTTGTGCCAATTTTGCTAGGGATTGATGTGGCAATTTTCCAATCTGGTGCATGTTCCCTATGAGAGGTAGTTTTCTTGGTCCTGGTGGCAATTTGGAGTTTGCTTTGTTAACACTTTTTGATCTCCAAACTATTTTGATCACCATGAATAAGAGGAAACCAAGGATTGAAGATGTGGTAACACCAAGTTCCAATCCCATACTTGCTGTGGAAAAACGAACTTGGGTTAGTTATCTATAAGGCTTTCATGAATGTATTTATAATAAAAAGTTGAGGCTTAAAGTATGGGAAAGAAAATGCATTTGTTGTAATCTATGTGAGAACAAAAAGTTACCATGTTTTGCTTGTTGCTAATTCTATGATTGCCGATGGTGTGTGGTCAAAATGTAATCATAAAATGAAAATGAAAATGAAAACTTGCACCAATATTGTGCTTGCTAAAGATTAAAATTTGGGACTAAACAAAAAGAATTAATATGATTGATAAAATTATTAATATAATATTGTTTATGATAAAAAGTTTTTTATTATAAGTAAAATTTTGAATATTATAATTGAAATTCATCAATTATTTTTATTTAATTTTTATTTTCCCATTTTATCTGAACATATAATAATAATAATGAAAATTTATTATAAATATAGTTAATTACTGAAATAGTGTATCATATTTACCTACAACATGTCTACCTTGTGTTTGACATTGGGGGGTTAATCTGTCCATGGCTTGGAGAAAGTGGAAATTCAAATCCTATTATTGTTCAAAGATACACTCATTTTTTAACTTAAATGAGGCTATCATCCAACGGAATGTGATAGATATGACAGCATAATGAAGACTAAATGAATAATTTAAATGTGCACCACAAAAATTTCAAAATTATTTGATTGACTTTTGCAGTGCACCCAACCATTACACCATTATACAAACATACATTTGCCAATATTAATGCCTTACTTCTATTGATAAGTTATAATGATTAAAAAATTGGATAGCTTAAATGTGTAAAGTCAACTCAATAATTACATAATTGCACGTGGCAAATTATGATATTCATATGAATTTTTTATTTATTTTGGAAAATCTTAACAATTTTTAAGATTAATTTTAAGTATTTAAAAAATTATAAAATTTTATGAAAAACCTAACAGCATGTTTGATTTTTATTTTAAAAATATTTTTATATATTTTTAAAAAATTATAATATAAAATTATATTATATTATATTTTTAAAAACAGAAAACTATTTTTAAAATAAAAATTAAGCATACTTTAAATAATTATTACATAAAAATATAATAAATAATAAATAATTTTTTCATAAAAAAATGCTGTATTTTAGATGTTTATCAACTTAAAAATTAATGATAACAAAATTATATTTTTTATTGTCATTCTAAATATTAATCTTAAAAGTTGATGTAGTGACCGTAGAGTGTGAACTCACTATTTATTTATTCATTTATAAAAATAAATACCATATCTTTTTAAATTTTTTTAATTTTACAAAAAAATATTTTAAATTTTCATTTTATTTCCATAAATTATTAAAAAATATAATTTCTATGATACTTCGTGAATTAAGAGAATATTTTATTATCATTAATTTTAAATTAATAAATAATAAAGTTAGTAATTTATTTAAAAATATATAAATATTTTAAAGATATTAAAATAATTAAAAATCACTTAAAAAATGATATACAATATTCTTCTAAGCTATAATACTATTTTAAATTTACATGTATCGTGAAATTTTTTAAATTTAAATTTTTTTTTATAATTGACTTCTTTCATTAAATCACGAACAGAAAAGTGATTTCCACTGTTTATTTATTTTAATTTTTTCTAATTTTTTATATATTAAAATATAATGAAAAATTTAAATTTAAGAAAAAAATTAAATCTATAAAAAAAATAATTAATATTATTATGCAAGTTGTTTATTATTTTTTATTATTTTTTAAAATTTATATTTTTATAATATGTTAATATTTGATTAAGATATATTATAAATTTATATTATCACTTTTGTAAGAAAAATTTAATATATTATTTTTATATTCTATCTTTCAACACATGTAAATATATTAAGGTGAAATATATAAAATTAAATATTCAAAATATATAATAATTAAAAGTTTTAAACTACCGCATTATAATAATTAAAAGTTTTAAACAATTGTGTATATAATAAAAATTAATTATAAATCATTTTTAAAACGTATAAGAATGTATTGAAATTTATTATAATAAATTTTTATTTTATATAAAAATATATTAAAATTGACTTCTGTTTTATATAAAAGTCTATTAAAATCAATTTTTATTTTTTAAAAATTAAAAAAAGTTGATTATAATCAACTTTTACATATAAATATATTTTAAAAATTAAAAAAATAATTATAATTAACTTTTATATTGTGAAGATGACTACAGCAAATTTAATTATAATTAAATTTTATGTAATTTAAAAAATATATTTTTATAAAAAAATTTAAATTCAAAATATTTACGTATATCTAATTTTAATTATTTTATTTACAAAAAAATCATACGATGTATGGATAATTTGTTTCATACAATATAATTTAATAATTAAATGCATATTAGTATGTTTTTATTTATTTATAATATATTAAAAATAATATCATTATAATTAAAATATAAATATTTAAAAATAATTAAGTTTTAAATTAATGAAAACATTATGTAATATATCTTATTATATAATAGTACTAGGATCTAGAGTCGCAATATACGTTTAAATTTAACGGTTTGCTTCTATTGATAAGTTATAACAACTAAAAAATTGGATAACGTAAACGTGTAAAGTCAACTAAATAGTTACATAATTGCACGTGGCACATTATAATATTAATCTAAATTTCTAATTTATTTTAGAAAATGTTAATAGATTAATTTTACACATTTAAAAAATTGTAAAATTTCATTAAAAACTAATATTTATTACATAAAATATGATAAATACTTTTTTAATAAAAGTTTATTATTTTTTATATTTTTATCAACTTAAAAATTAATAATAGCAAAACTATTCTTTTATTGTCATTCTAAATATAATGATTTAAACTTACTCTTTTATATACAAAAATCCATTGTTGCGTTGATCAAAGAGTGCGAACTCACTGTTTATTTATTTATGAAAAAAATATCATAATTTTTTAAAATTTTCTAATTTTACAAAAAATATTTTAAAATTTATTTTGTTTCCATAAATAAGTAATTTCTATAATGTCTTATAAATTAAAAGAGTAATCTATATACTTTCACACATACAATCATCATATATTATTGTTAATTGTATATTAATAAATAATGATGTTAGTGATATAAATATTATTTGATTTCTCACACATCAAAAAAAATTACAGCATCAATTTAAGGAGGGTATGTAATGTCTTTTTAAGTTTACATGTATCATAATAAATACCTTTTTAAAATCTAACTTTTTTAAATTAACTTTGTTCAGTAAATCATTTCAATTGTTTATTTATCTTAACTTGTTTTGCTATCCAAATATTTAAACATAATAAACATTTTAATTTTAGGAAAAAAGTAAAATTATATAAAAAAAAATAGTTAACATTGTTATGCAAGTTTTTTTTGTTTTTTTTATCATTTTATTTTCTAAATTTTTATAATATTTTAATGTTTTAAAAAATAAAGTATAAAAAATAATAATTTACTGATATTTAAAATGAACACATGATGTCACTGAGTACTGTAAATTAATAGTGTTGTTTTAGTTTATCTTGTCATATTATTGTATAACTATTTTAATGTTAATAATTTAACTTCGATGAACTGTAAAAATACTGGAATATAAGTATATATTTAGATTAAATTAAAATTAAAAATATTTATTGTAAAAATGAAGTTTGATAAAAGAATATACATTTTTCTTTCTTCATTTTCAATCTATTAAAAAAGTTTTAAGCTTGTTTGATTTCCTTCTCAAAAATAGTTTTTATAAATTTTGTATTATATTTCATTTTAAAAAAGAGAAAATTGTTTTTAGAAGAAAATCAAACAACCCCTTAGATCTCTGTTTCTAAAGCAACTGAAACAATGCTTCGTTTTATACAAGATACCATAGTTGTCATTGAAGATGTCTTCAGAATCGTGTAAAATACAATTATTAGAGCAACTGAGTAAAAATTATATAAAATAAGTAATTTTAATAAATAATTTTAATTTTTTCTATTTTTTATGTTTTAGTTGCATATAGAAAAACAGAGACTCACACGTATATAAAGACTAGTAATGTTACTTGTAGGATGTACGGATAATTATTTTATACAATGTAATTTTATAATTAAATGTATATTAGCGTATTTTATTTATTTATAATATAATAAAAACAATATATCATATATAATTAAAATATAAGTATTTAAATAATTAATATTTAAATTAATGAAAACAAAATGTAATATATCTTATTAGATAATAGTACTAGGATCTAGAGCCATAATATATATCTAAATTTTAAGAGGGCTGAGATTAATAATAAAACTTTTGGGAAAATGAACCAAAGTTAGCTATATTTATTATAATTATTACTAATAAGTTGAACTTTTCTCAAACATGTATTATATGACTTGTGTGACCGCCCTTTATGTAAATTAATCTCAATTATTTTAGAAAGTACAAAATGAATACACTTCTATAACAATAGCAAATGATTTTCTTTCCATACAAACATTGTGCACATAGGTAACTAACATGAACAGATGATTTAAATTTAAAAATCATCACAAATATAAACAACTTAACATAATTTTTACATGCATAATTATAAAATTTAAAAATCGAACAAGAAATCCTTCATAGTGCTCTTAATTAGCAGATGAGTGATACATATTAGGAATCAAGTACAAATCATGTTTTCTTCTAACAGATAAACCAATTGATTCACTCATGTCAAGTTCTTCAGGCTTATTACCATTAGGCATCTTCCAATCAAAATAGAAAAGCAAATTTGCTAGTAAGATTTCAACATTAGCAATGGCAAATGTAGTGCCAGGACACATTCTTCTCCCAGCACCAAATGGAATAAACTGAAAATCTGCACCTTTGTAATCAATTGAGCTATCAAGGAACCTTTCTGGATAAAACTTCTCAGCTTCATTCCAATAGTTAGGATCTCTACATATTGACCATGCATTAACAATTACCTTGCTCTTGGCAGGTATCTCATACCCATTAATTTCACATCTTTCATAGCATTCCCTTGGAAGTAACAATGGCACAGGAGGATGTAGACGCAATGTCTCTTTGATAACTGATCTTAAGTACTTCAGCTCATGAAGAATTTGTTCATCTACATACCCTTTTTCATTATATACCCTTCTTACCTCAGCCTGTGCTTTTTCCATCACACTTGGGTTTTTGACAAGTTCTGACATTGCCCATTCTATGGTTTTAGATGAAGTATCACTTCCAGCACTGAAGATATCCTGAAAGAAATGCTATCATCAACATAATTGCAAACAATGTTTTTTAAATATAACCTGACAAAGGATGCTTTTTTCTATTAAGTACTTTCCATGGAAAACTTTTCTTTTCAAATTCAAGAATCATAACAAAATGTTATAAACCTTTCTATGAAACTTAAATAAATGTGCATAAGAGTAACTGATGATGAAAGTCATTATTTAAATGATGAAAGTTTCATAGAAAGGTTTAATCCATTGTGTTTATGATTCTTGAATTTGAAAAGAAAAGTTTTCCATGGAAAAGCTGACTTAGATGCTAAGCACTTTTTCAAACAAGACTCGTAGTATAAAATTGTTAATAGAAAAGTTTAAGCTATGAGTTTTGCTTGAAAAAGTGGTCAGCTTCTAAGGAAAAAAAGTGGTCAGCATCCAAGGAAATTATAGTAAATTAATCTTGGAAATATTATAATATCTATTTTGAACTATAGGAAATTATGTGAATGATTTCTAATTACAAAACACTAACCAACATGATTGCTTTGATAACACTGTTAGATAGAGGATGCTCAAGGTTGTTCTGCTTCTGAAGCTTTAGTAGGACATCAACTAGATCTTCACCTTCTTTTTCTTTGGTTCCCTTGGTTTCTGAACTTGGTTCCATGTGACATCTGAGAATTTTCTCTAGGATCCTGTCTACTTCTTGATGTAACTTCTCAGCTTTGGACTTTATTCGTGTCAAAACTTTAAGCACTCCAATGGAAGGAAACAGGTCAGCTATAGAGAAACCAGCAACTACTTTTGACACATCATCCATAAGAGCTATATATGCTTCTTGATCTTCAGTCTTGCCTCCTAAGGCAAGTCTTGATGTTAAACCATAGGATGTTGAATTGATAAACTTAGTGAGATTTATGGATGATCCTTCATTCAAACATATCTCTTTAACAAGATTTGAAGCCTCCTCTTGCCTAATTGATTGAAATGATTCAACACGCTTTGCAGTTAGTAGCTCAAAGGTGCAAATTTTTCTCATCTGCCTCCAATAACTTCCATAAGGGGAAAAGGTCATGCCCTTAGAACCATAAGTTATAACATCTGCAGCAAGAAGATGAGGCCTATTTGCAAAAATGATGTCACGTGTCTTCATTATTTCTTTGGCCATTTCAGGAGAAGACACCACTATTGTGGAAAGTCCTCCAAGTTTTATGTGGATTAGAGGCCCATATTGCTTTGATAATTTTGCTAGACCATGATGAACCATTGCACCAAGCTGGTGCATGTTCCCTATAATAGGTACTTTTGGTGGTCCTGGTGGTAACTTAGAGCTTGAAGGCTGGGCTTTTGTTTTCCAAACTATGCTGAACACTATGAAGAAGAAGAGAAAGGTTAAGATTGCAGGTGAGGGAAGATTTTGGAGACTCAAATCCATGGTTGTAAAGGAAAATAAGCTAGCTCAGATATCAGCTTACTCAACTTAACTGGACATGCATGGCCAAATATTAATATTTAAAGAGGCAAAGATTTTTTAAGAAAACGTTATTAAAAATGAGACAAATTTCATTTATACTCTCTATTTAACAAAATTTGATCAAATATATCTTTCTTTTTTACATTACTGTTAATTTTTTTCATTCATATAATTAAATACAGGATAAAAAATAATTTATATATTCGAGAAAGATATGCAATGTTACAGCTGTATTTTGTCCAATGTCTTTGTAGGAATTGAAGAGGCGATGAATCTGTAGTTCTAAAGATTGTCTTCTTCCTAATTGGTCCATGAGTAATAATTTCTTATCTTTGGCTTTTTTTTCTTTATGATATTGTCATCTTGAATTGTGATCTTTGTTTAAGTTGCAGATTCTGCAACCAATGGAAAACGTACTCGTTCATGTGTTGACGTATAATTAGATGATAATATATTGACAAGAAAACGATTACTATCAGATCAAACAGAATGGAATCATCGTTATGTGATTTTGTTGTTTTATTTGTTCATTTATTGGAGCAAGATGTAAGGCAAATAATTTGCAGTGTTTTGTGTCTTTCAAAAAGTTTAAGGGGTAACATGGGTTTATGAAGAGGAGAGAAGAGAATAAAATTTTATTTTAAATAAATATATTTAGAAAAATAAAAAATATAAATTAATAAATGAACAAAAATTAATATATTAATTATATATTTATTATTATAAATAATATATAATTATCTTAATTTAAAATTAAAAAATATATTCTCTCTTCTTTTTTCTCTATAAAAAATTCTCTCCTTACCTAATTAAAATGTCAGCCTGCTTGTTTTGACCTCTTGGTAATTGAAATCGACTGCGGATGGAGATATTTTTGGCACGCACATTAAGAAATGTCAAATAACAATTATTATTTATTATTTACGTCAGTTTGTTTTTATTTCGTTTTAATATATTAGTAATATTTAATATTATAATTTTTAATAAAAATTACTGTTTAATAATTTCTTGGTATACATATTGAAACATCGATGTGGATTAGCAAAAAAATAAACAAAACATCGATGTGGAAAAAAAATTGTCCATCTTTTGAGATTCTTGTAATTGATTTTGTAAATTTTAAATTAAATAAATAAAAATTTATTATTAATTCATTAAAATGTGTAAAATAATATTAATTCATTAAATAAATAAAAAAGGCATATTTGGTGATTCTTGTGTCAACTTGGAGTCTAATCAGTCTATCCTGAAGAAAAGGACAAAGGACAATTGGTACTTCAGAAGTCAGAACAAAACATCTCTTTCTAAGACTATCCTCTCCAACAATTTTAAAAAGAAAATATAATAGAAATTTTTATTATATTTTATTTTAAAAAATATAAAATCAATTTTAAAATAGAAATTAAACTTTTTTTTATTTTTTTTTCTTTTAAACGAAAATTTTCTTCGACAGCTTAGGTAAAAATTTATTAAAATCATTTTGACTACTTAACCATTCGAGTAAAATTAAAACTGGACGTACTAATTCAAATATATGAGAGAAGATTCATATCATTTTTCATATATAATAAGAAGTTACTATAATACTTTTTCTAAATAAAATTTTGATCTTTTAAAATTTATAATTTTTTATTTTTAAATAAGTCTTTCACAATTTATTTTTTCTTTTTCTTATAATTTATATATCAATTATTATTTTTTAATATATACTTTTGTAATATTTAACTCTTATATGACATAAAATTAATATAAATTGTAATACGATATTTATACTTTTATTTTTTGAAAATTTTAGTTTTATAAATTAAAACTTTATTAAAAAATAAAAACATAATATTACTAATAACTCATCTCATTCATACTGCGCCTCAATCAAATAATATTAAATAATTCGAATGTTATAAAAACGAATAAGGAAATAAGTTAACTCCTTGTTAATATCAGGATAAGATGCAAATAATTTTTTCAAGAAATAGATAAAAATATTAAAAAAAGAAATCAAATGAAAATATTATTTAGGAGACTAAATTATTGTTTAAACTTATTTTTTTTTATATTATGTTACTTTGAATAGATTTATTTTTTTCATCCCTTTAATATTAAATTTTATTTCATAAAATTTAAATGAAATAAAAAATATAATATTATCTAAGTTAGTATTATAATGTATATTAAATATAAAATACTATGAAATATTCTTATCTTGTTTTAGTTATTTTGTTTTTATATTTTTATTAACCAATATATAAGTGCTTCATTTTGTATACTGCTATCCCTATTCTCAAAATGAGGTACTTATAATATATCGATTGATGATCTTATAATTTTTTATTTTACAACAAATAGCTAATATTGGAAGAGGCCAAGATTTTTCTGAAAAATAATATAAAAAAGTAGATTGAATCGAGAGTTGTCATTTTGCCATAAAGGATTTCAAGAGATAGCAGCTGAGGAATCCAATGTTCCCAACATTGTTCGCGTTGTTAAGTAGTCAAAGAATGATAATCCCATTAATTTCCATAGATCTTAGACCTTTGTGACTGGTTTTTTTTCTCAATGATACGTTTATTTGGTTCAACCAATGCAATATATATTATTAGATATATACAAGATAAGAAATTACGCGGATATTACCAAAAAATAAAGGAAACTGAATATTCTCTCGGTCAATATATGAAACGAAAGATATTCATATCCGTTCAACCATAATTAAGATGAAAGGTATTTACACTCCTTCAGCTATATCAAAGTAAGCTAACAAGCTAATTAAGGTAATTAATCAATAAAAAAAATTAATCATTCAAGTAATTAGAAAGATAAAATAAAACTGACTCATGAAGTTCATTAAGCTCAATATCATGTTTATAAAAAGAAAGTATATAAAAGGGTTTACTTCAGAATATTAAATAGTATTTATTGTCCTATCCCGAACACTGACTTCACCATCGAAGTGTCTTTGTAAGTACCTTTCTTCCATGTCACTATAGAAGAGAATCTTGAATATTCTACAAAGACGTCGTATCAGTGGACTAAAAAAGTAACTATAGAAGACAAGTGTATAATTAACAGGAACATTTTGACGCTCATTGTGAGGCACAAATTGTCTCAAACTTCAAACAAATATAGTATTGACAAGAAGGCCCCAGCCAACTATGGGGAATGTCACATCAACATGAAGAACATGTGCGAAATCAACCCACACCAGAAGGCAGAAATGATAAAGATACAACATCTCCAGTTATAAATTACGAATTGATAATTACAACAGAATAAAATTGAACCACAAATCTTTATTACTTCTTTTTGTTTATTTTATTGTATTACAGATAATTAATTATTCTATTAGTTAGTTATTTTATTTATCATTTAGTTAGTTTTCTGTTAGATGCTAGATGTATTGATAGTGTCATTCAATTAGATTGGTTAGATATAAATAGTTGTGTCTTGTATATTTGTAAATATTGAATTGAATTCTGATTTCAATAATCTCTCTCACAAACCACTCTCTGAGAATTATTCTTTCTTTGTTCATGTTAACCATGTTAATCAACATGGTATCAGAGCTCCTTTCCTAGGGGCTCTGTTGTGCAAATCCAACTCTGAAACATTTCTTCTTCTCATCGTTGTTAATTTCTTCTCTTCTTCTTGCTTGAATTCCAATGGTGAATCAAGCAATTGATCCTTCAAATCCACTCTACTTGCATGTTAACGAGAACCCTAGAATTTCTTTGGTGCCGGTTTTGTTAATCGGTGAGAATTACCATTCTTGGGCTTGAGCGATGACTATGGCACTCAAATCGAAAAATAAGTTGCAGCTTGTTGATGCTTCTTTACCGAAGCCCGAAGCAGGAGATCCATCATTCTTGGTATGAGATCGATGCAACACTATGGTGTTGTCATTGATCAATAATTCATTGGATGCCTCTATAGTTCAGAGTGTCATTTGGATGGAAACAGCATATGAAGTATGGAATGATTTGCGTGAAAGGTATTACTAGGGAGATATCTTTCGTATTTCTGAATTGCAAGAGAAGGTTTACTCCATAAATAGGAAAATTTGTCGATAACTACTTATTTCACTAATTTGAAGAGCTTGTGGCAAGAATTGGACAATTTTAGACCAATTCCTCATTGTTCTTGTGCAGTTAGATGTAATTGTGATTTGATACCTACAATGAAAGCTTATAGGAAAAATGACTATATCATTAGATTCTTGAAAGGGCTCAATGAGCAATATGCAGCTGTAAGATCGCAAATTATGTTAATGGATCCTCTTCCTCCAACTAATAAGGTTTTTTCCCTGTTAGTATAGCAAGAGAGACAGATAGGAGTACTGGTTGAAGATTCTCAAGTGCTAATTAATATAGTTGGTAGTTCAGGAAGAGGAAAATATAAGGGTCCTAGAGCACAAAACATGGGCTCGGGAGGAAGAGGAAATGAAGGGAGAGGACAAAGCACAAAGGTGTGCTCATATTGTGGTAAGACAGGTCATTTAGTGGATACCTATAAGAAGCATGGTTTCCCCCCTCACTTCAAAAAGTCAAATGTCATCAATCACTGTAGCACTAATGATGAAGAGGATATTGATGATACTCAAAGTGTTCTTTCCCGAAAGGAAGTGAGTGAAAGTACAAGTATGATATTTACTCTAGAGCAACATAAGGCACTACTTGCATTACTACAACAATCAGGAAATCAAACTGGGCATACAGTGAATCAAGTAACTAGTTCTTTAAATCATCAGTCACTTACAAAAACCTCAAGTATAATCCTTACCTTATCTCAAAATTGCAATTCCAGTTCTTGGATCATTGATACATGAGCTATAGATCATGTATGCAATTCCTTAAAAAAATTTCAATCTCACAAAAGAATTAAACCAATTCCTATTAAGTTGCCTGATGGGAGTCAAATTTGTACTCAAATCTCAGGAACAGTATATATGTCAAAAGACTTCAACCTAACAGACGTTTTGTATATTCCTGATATCAGTTTTAACCTAATTTCAGTTTCTAAACTAACAAAATTGTTATCTTGTAAATTCATCTTTTCTGATTCTAATTGTCAGATTCAGGAATCCCACTCTATGGAGATGATTGGTGCAGCTAAGCTGAAGTCAGGACTTTATGCAATGGTTCCCAATGATCAATCAAAATTGGTACAACACTGTATCAACAATTTTTTTTACGTATGATTCTGATCTTTGGCACATGAGGTTAGGTCACCTATCTAATGAGAAGTTGAATGTAATAAAAAACTTGTACCCTCATATTGAATGTAATAAAACAACAAATCCTTATGAGATCTACCATTTAGCTAAACAAAAAAGATTGCCTTTCAGTGACAGTGTGAATACTTCTGTGAAAGTTTTTGATCTGGTGCATGTTGATATTTGGGGACCCTTGTCCATTCCATCTATTTTTGGTCATAGGTACATTCTAACCATAGTAGAAGATAAATCTAGGTACACTTGGATTTACCTAATGAAACAAAAATATGAAACATCAAACCTGCTAAAGAATTTTGTTTCTTTAATTCATACACAACAATAAAAAGATAAAAACCATTAGATCATATAATAATATTGAGTTCCTTATGAAAGAATGGTACGCTTCAGAAGGAATTAATCATCAAACCTCTTGTGTGGAAACACCACAACAAAATGGTATTGTAGAGAGAAAACATCAACACATTCTTAGTGTGGCTAGAGCTCTCATCTTTCAATCGAATCTGCCAAAAATTTTCTGGAACTATGCTGTAAGTCATGCTGTCCACTTAATCAATAGGATGTTAACCAGGTATCTCAAAAATAAATCACCTTACCATGAACACTTTACCTGAGATATCAAACCTAAAAGTTTTTGGATGTTTGTGTTTTGCATCAAGTTTTGCAGCATCAAGAAAAAAATTAGACTCAAGGTCTAGGAAATGTATTTTTCTGGGATTCAAAATAGGAACTAAATGATATATTTTATATGATCTAAAATTGAGGGAAACCTTCATATCTAGAGATGTTATGTTTTACGAAAAATTATTTCCTTTTCATAATAATGATAACACTGCTAGTGTTGATAAACCAACTCCTATTATTGTCATGAATCAAATTCCATATCTGGATGATGACCCTTTTGAGAACAATGAGATATCATTAAATCAAGGCTCAACAAATGAACAACAAAATGAGGAATTACATATGAATTCCAATCAAAATGTAACCATTGAACAAACAAGACATTCAAAAAGAGTTATGGGACCTCCCTTATATTTACAGGATTACCATTGCACACTGATTACTTTAGGAGTCACACCAACACTCAAATCTGTCAGGTATCCTCTTTCAAATTCTCTCTCTTATGATTCACTACTTGATTCCCAAAAACACTTTTCTTTGGCTATCTCTACTATTGTTGAGCCCAGATCATATCAGGAAGCTATTATTAATGATTACTGGAAGCATGCTATTGAAAAAGAACTAACAACTCTGAGTAAGAATCATACTTGGACTCTGACTTCACTTCTTGAAGGAAAGAAGACTGTTGGGTGCAAATGGGTGTTTAAGATCAAGCATAATTTGGATGGAAGTACTGAGAGATACAAGGCGCGACTGGTTGCAAAAGGATTTACTCAAACTGTTGGGATTGACTATTTGAGAACTTTCAGTCCAGTGGTTAAAATGACCACAATAAGAATACTTTTGTATTGCTACAGCTTGCAATTGGGAGCTGGACCAATTAGATGTTAATACAACTTTTTTGCATGGAGATTTGAGAGAAGATGTTTACATGGAGCCTCCCCTAGGGCTTCAATTATCAGATTCCACATTGGTCTGCAGACTTGAAAAGTCCCTATATGGACTAAAACAAGCAAGTAAGCAGTGGAACATCAAGATGACAAACACACTTATTACCTCTGGATTCAAACAATTAAAGGCTGACTACTCTTTATTTACGAAAGAGACTCTCAAAGATTTGACTGTTATATTGATCTACGTGGATGACTTGATTATGAGAGGAACTGACAGCGAGGAGATTGCTGGAGTTAAAATTTTGCTTGACCAAAAGTTTAGCATAAAGGATCTAGGAAATTTGAGTTTTTTCCTGGGATTGGAAGTTACAAGGACTGAAAAAGACATTAATCTATGCCAAAGAAAATATGCTCTTGAGCTGTTGCAAGAAACAGAGTTGCTTGGTTCAAAATCCTGTAACACTCCTATGGATCATACTGTGAAAATTCAACAAAACTCTGAGGATGCCTTTTCTGATGTTACTGCATATAGAAGACTCCTTGGAAAACCTATATATTTGACCAATACCAGACCATATATTTCTTATACAGTGGGAAGGCTTAGTCAATACTTGAACAGTCCAACAAATGCTCATTACAAGGCTGCTCTTAGAATACTCAAATATATCAAACAAAGTCCTGGGAAGGGGGTCTTCTCTTTTCTGTTGATTCAATTTGAAATTTAAAGGATATAGTGATTCTGATTGGGGTGCTTGCCCGGACACGAGAAGATCAGTCACAAGATTCTATTTCTTTCTTGGCTCATCATTAATTTCATGGAAAAGTAAGAAACAATCCATCGTATCTCGTTCATCTTCGGAAGTTGAGTATCGAGCTTTAACTCAAACAACATGTGAAGCTTAGTGGCTTATCTATCTTTCGGCAGACTTTAACCTTAACAAACTCACACTTGTTACTTTGTTCTGTGACAATCAATTAGCCATCTATATTGGGGCTAATCTTGTCTTTCATGAAAGAACAAAACACATTGAAATTGATTGCCATACTGTGAGGGAAAAGGTTCAATCGAGTGTCATACATCTTCTACCTGTATCCACCAAAGAGCAGCTTGCGGATACTTTAACTAAACCCTTGATTCCTCATGTTTTTCATACCTTTGTATCCAAGGTAGGAATGACTGATATATACATTCCAGCTTGAGAGAGACTATTACAGATAATTAATTATTCTGTTAGTTAGTTATTTTATTTATCATTTAGTTAGTTTTCTATTAGATGACAGATGTATTGCTAGTGACATTCAGTTAGATTGGTTAGATATAAATAGTTGTGTCTTGTACATTTGTAAATATTGAATTGAATTCTGATTTCAATAATCTCTCTCACCAACAACTCTCTGAGAATTATTCTTTCTTTGTTCATGTTAACCATGTTAATCAACATATTGGAATAAAGTTGTGAATAGATAACTTGTAACATTTTGAATTATTTCTTTTTCCAATTAACGAGACCTTGATGTAATTTAAGTAGTTTTTGCTTTTTTCGTTTTGTTGTGTACAAAAATATCTTGATTTGGTTTTTCAATGAGTACTTTTTTATATAAAATGAATGGGAATGAAAACAATCTTTCTACTTGTGAATATCTAAATTTTATTTTTATTTTATTAAAATTTTGAATTTATTTTATAAAACGGGAATGAAAATAAAATATTTTATAAAAATTAGAATTTATTTTAACAAATTAGAAAATTTTCAGATTTGACTCTAAAAAAGGAATAAAAATATTATAAAAATTAAACTAAAAAATAAGCAAAGTTTTTGAGCATGAAAATAAAACTTAGATTAAAAATTTGGCTTTTTCCTAATTCTAAGAGCATAAAAAACAAAGAAGGGGCATCAAATAGGAGATTGGAAAAATTTAGAGAGGAGGAAATTTTGCTGAAAAATAGTGGAGGAGAAAGAAAGTAGAAGAAAAAAAAAAAAGAAAAGTAAGCAAATATAAGGTGCAAAATTTTTAAGTAAATTTTTATCATTGTATAAATTTATTTATTTATTTATTACATATCCTTTCTATTGAACGAGCATTACATACATCAACTCAATCCCGTAATATTTTTTTTTTTATGAACCATTGTTTGTTGCCACCCACCATGCCTTTGCCCGAGTTTGGCTACTCACCATCATGAAATATTTTTCCTTTACTATTCTTTTTCTTTTTTCTCTCTTCCAAATCATATCTCATTCAAACACTCAAAATCTAACATTCTCTTCGTTCATTCTCCTCTCTTTTAAACCATTACCTTCAAGCATTAAGATTCACCACCTCTCTGTTCACCATTTTTTTTCTCTTGCTTGATTCATCGTCATTGCCAAGTACAAGACCTATTACGGAAGTTCCTTTCTTACCTTTCCTCTTTTCTCTCTCTTCTCACTAACACTAACCTCCATCCAAAACCATGACTTTTATCAACCTCATCTACACCCACTTCATAACCCAAAAATCCTATACCCTAAACATGAAAATTTCAATTTTGAACATTTTAGTTCAACACACTTTTTATTATTTTAGTTTCTTTTTTTATTTTCATTTTATTGTTTATTTATTTATTTTATCATTTTTATTATTTCTAGTATTATTATTAGTATATATTATTTTGTCAAACGATAAAGTTCTTATTATTTTATTTATTTATTTTTCTTATTTTTTTTGTTATTATTTTTTAATGTTAGTTTAAGTTAAATAAAAATATTTGACTTTCTTATTTTATTTATTTGTTTATTTATCTTAATTTAACTCTTTTGATTCTATTTAATTTAGAATAATTATAATAAAAAATTATTAAAATTAATTAAACATAATTCTTTATTTTATTTTATCATATTATATTTAAGTTGTGTTTTTATTTGTAAAATTTATCTCATTTTAACATTAAAATTTTTTTCTATTTTTTTATGTTTTATTTTTTATGCCTTAATTATTATGTTGGTTATTTATTCTTTAGGATTTTTATATTTTATTTTATTTATTATATATTTATAGAATATTAATGTGATTTAACTTTACATTTCAGATTTAGCTCCTCTTATATTATGAATAATAAATCACTTCTTTTTTATATAATCAATGAATAAATAATAATATAATTGTATCAATTTATAATATTAACATATAGTTTTTATATCGTCATGTATTATAAATTGATAAAGCTAACATTATCGAAACTTTATACAATATTAATTTATTATATGTTATCTTTAATTAATTAAAAAATTATCTTAATAATTAATCAAAATATATTTCACGCTAATTACTATGTTACTAATCAATCAATTTATATCAAAATTATTTTATTAATGCAATAATTTATAATGCTAATGTGTTATAAATTGTCAAAACCTATGGGTACTAATGTTACTTTAGATTTTATACACTATTAATATATTAAAATAATTTTATCTTATTTCTAAAATTAATCAATTATATTTTTTTATTTAATTAAAATTTATCATCTATAATATTTTCATCATATTAATATAACGGTTTATAGTGTTGTTGTATAACATATCTATTTTTATACACTTTAAATCATTAAAACTTTGTATACCAACGTTACTTTAAGTCTTGTGCAATATAAATTTATCAAATAAATTTTTAATTTTTTATTAAATAATTATCTTCTTTAATCAATTTAAATACATTTGTTCCTTTCATTAAATAGAATTAATTTTATATTTTAATTTTTCTTAAGTCATATTTCTAATTTTGATAAATTAAATAACCAAATATGTCTTCAATTTATTATAAAATTTTTTGCAATATCTTTATATAATTTACATTGTTTTCGATTGTCCAATAAATCATAAAAGATTTATCTATAACTTACATTATTTAAATTCTCTTTCAACACAAATCTTTAAATATAAATTCAAGTAAGAGGTACAAAAAACATAAAGTTTGAAGAACAGAAAGCTTCTGGAGGTCTCTCGCTAAAGCGAGACATTTTTCGTTGCAGTGAGAAACAAACATAATGACCTAATTTTGCTTCCATGTCTCACTGTAGGTGTCACTGTAGCGAGAGCGAGAGAAGCTTCGTTCAGAATGGTATAAAAGCCAATTTTGTTTTTCTAAAAAGGCTACTGTTTCATAAGAAGAAAAACAAAGAAAGAGCGGTGAAGAGCTTAGAGAAAGAGTGGGAATACTTAATTTCTCATGTTTTATACCATTTGCATCTCTTTTCTTATTATTATAGTTGTAATAAGTAGCTAAAACTCTTGTGGAATTAAATATAAATATTTAAACTTGATGTATTCTAAGTAATTTATATAAATATAGTTGTTTCTTCTTTCTTTCTATTGATTTAGTAATTTCAATCTGTGTTAATGCTTGAATTTGTCTAACTGATAGCTTCTTAAGCCAAGATCTGAGTTATATCTGGAAAGGTATTACTTAGATCTAGATTTGCTTAAAATTACTCGATAACTAGTTATTCTAGGAATAGATTTGAAGTTATTGATTATTTTTAAATTTTGATTATAATGTCGGATAATTTGTTAATTGAATGAGGGTTAACATTTTAAGAAATTATCTTTAAAATATATTAATTTCAAGGAATTGAGATATATGATTTTTGTATTTTGCATCAACATCATTGGAAATAATTGTTATGTTTATCACTGAATTATTGAAATACAAAGAAGGAGATAGATGAAATCTAATCCCAATTTTTCTAATTTAATTTTTACTATATTTTACATCATTGTTTTACATTATAATTGTCACTCAAATTTTATAAAAACCATCAATCAATTTTATTGTATATAAGCTCAATCAAATTATATCTTAATAATTTATATTTTGAATTTATTTTTAAAGACAATATTTTGGTATTTCACTAGTTATTACTTACAGTAATCTGGTATACTTGTTGTGTTTTAAGAAAAAAAATCTCAACAATTAATCATATTGGTTTATTTCAGGATATAATACTCTCAGTATAGGGAAAAAAAAGAAGGTAAAATGATAGTTGTTAATATGCTTATGGTGTTAATTCAATTGTAAAAACATGATGCCTCTATTTAGATAGTAGATTTCTTATGATTTATTTGTAAGTCTAATTTAGGAGGGAATGAGAAAAAAAAAAGGGGGAAGATTTTTAAAAGATAATTTTTATTAATAATTACTAAAGAGAATTGAAAATTTTTAGATATTTTCTGAACTCTCATATTTTATATATTTTTTAGTTTTCTTGTTTTAAAATATTTTTTATATTTAAATAAAGAAGTTTAACTTCCATTTCTCGTTCTTTTTCTTTTCTTCCTCTTTCTCAATTTTATTCTAGAGAGTTTTGTTTCTTCTTTTAAACAAATTCTTAAACAAAGTTTTAAAATATTTTCATATTTAAAAAGTAAATAAATTATTGTAAGAAATTATGCTTGTCTTATATTTTTCATTGCTATTTTTTTTTAGTATTGTTGAATTAGCACTATTCCTGCTATTGAATTAACAGTAAGCTCGTTCCTATAGGGACACTGTGGCATTGCAATGTAAAATCATGTGTTGTTGCTTAAATTCTAAATTGTATTAATTCGATTCATGAAACCTATTCAGTTCCTTTCTTCATACTTTATTTTTTGTTTATTTTTATAAAGCATATTTAATGTGTTGATATTTGTAAATAGTAATTACTATTATTAAAAAAATCGTTACCCCTAATTAAGAAATTTGATTGCATATGATTTAATTTATAATTGATTTTGATACCTTATAAATAACTCACACACCCTCTAATACACAAGATTCAGCTTATTTACCTTTTCTCTTCTCTGTAAAGGAAATGTTGAAAACACCAATAATTCTTGTACCAAAGAAGAATAAGAAGATGATGAAAGCTTAAATGAAGATAGTTTATTATTAGAAGTGAATTTGGACATAATATATATGTCTTATTGGTACATCAAGTCTAGTTCCTAAAATTGTTCATTAGTTGGTACAATGGAAAAATGTTGATGAAAAGTTGAGAGATTTAATTGTAAAATCTGCTCCCAAAAGATTAAAACAATAGCCTTTTTCTTCATTTTCTTGCCAAATGGAGAACAGGTCCAGGACTTGAATTTTCCCTGAGGCACTAGATCGAATTTCTAGTGTTGGGAATGACGCATATATCATCTTTTGGACTAACTGTTATTCCAAACTTCTCAGTCATGTCCAAATCTTCATTTTTCATTCCATTGGGAAGTTTCCAATCAAAGTGATACATCAACAATGCTAGTGCAAACTCAACATTGATCAAGCCAAATGTGAGGCCAGGGCATATTCTCCTTCCACCACCAAATGGAATGTACTCAAAGCTATTGCTTTTGTAGTCAATTGAACTTTCAATGAACCTCTCAGGGTAAAACCTCTCTGGCTCAGTCCAATGATTTGGATCTCTTCCAATTGCCCAAGCATTGATAATGACCTTGCTTTTCATAGGTATGTCATAGCCATTGATTGCACAATCTTGTGCACTCTCTCTTGGAAGCAAAAGAGGACTTGGAGGGTGTAATCTTAATGTCTCTTTCACAACACATTTCAAATATTTAAGTTTCTCAATGCCACTTTCATTGGGCTTTCCTTCTTTATGAAATACCTCTCTTACCTCAGCTTGAACCTTTTCCATTGTTCTTGGATTTTTAATCATCTCTGCCATTGCCCATATTATGGTAGCAGATGATGTGTCACTTCCACCTCCAAATATATCCTTCAAAATCATGATATCAAGTTAAAATTGATTTAAAAGTATTCAAATGGTAAGAGGACTTTGTAGATGACACCCAAAATAACAAAGACTAGATTGTTAAAAACAAGAAAAGCAAACCCAAATAATTGCAAAATGCATTAGGAAGTATAAGGAATTAGTTCAATACAAAGAGAAACAGAGAAGAGCATAGTAAGTTAGAGTTTAAAAACCAGTATACCTTATGCTTTGAAAATTAAAAAATATATGTTTGATTTAATTGTTTCGTGCTATGTTTTATTTAACATCTTTTTCTTGCTTCTGAATTTCTTTTGGAACTTCCAAGTACAACATTAAGTAGAGAGACAGAAAGTTCTAAGGAAGCACCACGAGAAAGAAGAAACTGACTCCATAGATTTATAGATATTATTTGTTTATCATACAAGTGGTGTAAATTACACTTTTTCTATATGAAATAGCAACTTATCTTTGCTTCTTAATAATGTACTTTTTTTATCATAAGGTTTTTTTAAGTGAATTCCCTAGCCGACAGTTAGAGATTATTCCCTCGAGAAGCAGAGATAACAAAAGTTTGTCTTTCCTATGCCAACAACAGGGACAGATGCAGAACTTGTTAGAGCCTCATTTCTTTTTAAGAGAAATAATAATATAATATTCATCATAGTTACTATACTTTGAAGAATTAATTTTGTATTAACTGTTTTTATCTTATAAATATACATAATTATATTATTCAATTATATATTTTTTATATTTAAAAAATGTATATATAATCTACTTGTAAAAGTTAACTTCCACACTTCACAAATTATCAAAACACAATAGTAAGTTAACAAAATGCAAGGAATAATTTAGGTACTTGTATAGTTACCAAACGAAACATATAAGTAATTCAGTATATTTCTACTGTGCAAAATAACAATGGTAGAATAAGAATATGTCAATATACTTACCCACATCACAGCCTTGATACTATCATCACTTAAGCAAAACTCCTCCTTCAAGAGCACATCTAAAAGGACTTCCCCCACTTCTTTGCCACTTGACTTAGACTCTTTATGCTCGTTGATGATTGTTTGCATTATCTGATCAGCTTGTTGATGCAACTTCTCAAGCTTAAGCTTCAACCCAGAGAAGTGGTGAAGCCATTTGGCAGAAGGGTACAAATCTCCCAACTCAAAACCACCAGCAACCTCAACAGCTTCCTTTACCAATGATATTAACTTCTGTTCGTGCCTCTTCTGGTTGCCAAGTGCTGTCCTTGAAGTGATTGTAAACATAGTTGAAATCACTTCTTTGGAAAGATTAACGGGTGATCCTTCTTTTGATGCAATTCGTTTGATGAAATCACTTAGCACCTCCCCTCTAATTGGTTGAAAAGATTGCACACGTTTCGAGCTTAATAACTCCAATGCACAAATCTTCCTTAGTTGTCTCCAATAGTTACCATAAGGTGCAAAAGCTATATCTAAAGAATCATACCCCATTATTTTTGAAGCTAGGACATGAGGTCTTGATGCAAAGATAATATCATGGGTTTTCAACACCTCCCTAGCATAATTTGGAGATGAAACCACAATGGTAGAAACCTCTCCAAGCTTTAGATGCATCAAGGGTCCATATTTTGTTGATAAATCTCTTAGTCGATGATGGGGAAGTGACCCAACACAGTTGTGCATGTTCCCTATCACAGGTAACTTCCGTGGCCCTGGTGGTAAATTTGGAGTTGAGTTAGATTTCTTGGTCACTATTTTATGTACTACATAAATGAAAATGGAGAAAATGGATGTAATGTAGAGGATTTGCTTTTGAAGATCCATTAGGAAAACAGAACTTAGATTCAGGCTTTCTAGTTCGGTAATGCTATTCAGTTCGCCATGCATGATCTTATTTATATACAGTTTATAACTCATTTCACTTTACTTGAGTTTAAAGATGGGTAAGGTTAATTTTAAATTATTGAATGTGATCAAGATGCTTATATAAACTAAAGATAAAATTTAAGTATAATTTGTTAATATTTGTATATTATTTTTAATGAAATTAAAAAAAAAATCATACATGCCATCCTCAAATGTCAACATTTATTTTGCAAGTTATTAAAATAAAATTCTAATTATATTAAAATTCAATAAAATATCTAAAAGAATTTATTGACATTTTATGATGATAACACTTTATTCAATAAATTCAACAGAAACTTATGAAATAAATACTGATGTATTTTGGATATGGTCAAACCCATAGTTTAACCGAAAAACAAGAAAATATTCAATCATCTATTTTTGGATACCGCCATTCTCATGGTTTAACAAATAAGTCATCACTCATCCATTTTTGGGATATTGTCGAACTCCTCATTTCAAAATACTATACATTCAATTCAAACGTCAACATAGAAAGAAGTCAAAAGACGCGAAAATTCAAATAAGGCAGTGTGGTTACGTGATTGTGCGAAACATTAACTAAACGACGTCATTTAGTTTGAAAAATTCCCAATCCATTTCGATGGCTAGCAAAATAGTTGTTTATTACTGTAGTTATAAATTTGTGAAGCGCTTTGTACTTTATTATTATAATTTTTTAATATTTTAAAGATTAAAATATATTTTTATTTCTTAAAATGAATCATTAATCTTAACATTAATTAATATTAAGATAATAATTATCACACGTGTATAAAAAAAACCAGTAAAAGTTACCAATAAAATAACATAAGCTTTAGAGAAAAATTCAATTTTCGTGCTTCTGAGGGAGGAAATTAAAACGGGTCTTAATTTTACTACGAACTTTGATCTTAAGAATGTCGTTTATTCACTTTACACCGTTCAACTCGTGACATTAGCGCCGTTCCATTATTTCGGTGCATTGGTAAGTGTTACGTTGAATATTAAGCCCATAAAGAAAGATAGGCACCTGAATTTTGTGCGGTAATATGTTTTTTATGGATTAGAATTGACTATAAAACATAAATAAATATTAAATTAAAAGTGAGATTTGTACTTTTTAATAAAGTTTAATTAACAATAAGAATACATTTGAAAACGTGTTAAAAGAAATTAAAGAATGTGATCTAATAAGATTCTTTGCGCAGTGAATTGAGGCAGTCAAATAAGGAATGTGCGGCTTTAATAGTAAAATCTTAATTGACAATCTGACTGATGTTAATGGACTTACGTCATGGCTGACAAGAGCCTGTTGAATATATACAATGCCAAAGCAAAATAGACAACCAAATACGATTTTGGATTAATTAAAGATATATTTTCAAATACAAGTTCGCGTTAAAAATTCGTAAACTGCATCATTAGTTTAGGTTTCAACTTAACCCACAAAGTAGTTTTTGAAAAGGAAGAACAAAATCACGTTTGTGCGGTAACAAACGCTGAACCGAGCATGCGTGATTCGATTTGCATTTTTAAGATCTTTCTTGTTCTCCTGTAACGCCAACTTTCACATATTTTAATATCTTGACTTTCTATTTTTTTTTTTACAGACAAATAAATATTATTTAAATGAGTATAAGGAATACTCAAAATCCTTCCGCAAACAAAAAAATTAAACTGATATTTTTTAAAAAGTCAAAAAAATACAAAGAAATATAAGTATAGTTATTTTATACTTTTCAATAAGCAGAGATGTATGTTCAAGTGTCAATTAGTAAAAGTAATAAGATCTCTGTCTTATTATACAGTAATGACCATTTTAAAGATTTCAAAATAATAGAATCTAACAATTTATTTTTATTCAATACATCAGAAAAAAAATACGATATTAGGTCCTATGTGGTTATAAGAACTATGTAATATAATCAGACCATGACTTTAAATTGCTTTGCATGTATACTGTATACGTGAAAAATTAATTTTAATATGGAATTTAAGTGAATGAATTACTGAAATATGATTTTTTTTTTGGTCAAAATTATGCGCATATAATAAAAAAAATTATATGGCCTAAAAATGCTAAGAGCCGCAGCAAAAGGTGGCAGAGGATAGTCTCGTCGTTCTCAGCTCTCCAAAATTCAGCAATTGCGAGATTGTATGGCAAGAAATCTTGCAACTAAGTCCCATCATGAAAAGTTTCATCGCAACGCCTCCAAAACTCGCCAATGAGAAGATTTCAGGCCATGAAAAGGGCAGCTCAAAGAATAAAAAGTAAAAGTTGCGAGACTGAAAAATCTCAGGGGTGCAAGATTGAAAAACAAAGGGTAGAGTGAAAAAAGGGTTAGTGTTTTGAGTCACATTTTAATTTTTAAAAAAATTAAAAAAGAGAAATAAAATAATTAAAATATGGATTTTGAAAGACATGTTTTTAAAAAGATTTAACCGTCGATTTCGAGTCACACGAATCAATATAGATGCTAAAGTTTTTCTTCTAAATATTTAATATAATGTATTTTTAGTAAAAAAAATTATTTATTTTAATTAATTAAGTTGTATGTTTTTTTTAATAAATATTTGCGTTGTAAGATTAATGCGTTACAATATTTTTTATTAGGTATAATTTATATTATTATGTATAAATTTTTTACAATGAATATATGAATTAATGCTTTAATATACTGATTAAATATAATATTTTGTTATAGTTATGTGAATATAAATGTTAATATATTATAATATTCACTAGACAAATATTATTAAAATTTATAGTATATTAAATTTTATAATATACTAGATATACTTTTAATATAACTTTTGATCTTACCTCCTCCTATTCTTCTCTTTTCAAGACTTGCAAGCAGGAGATTCTTGTTAGCTGGTTTTCTCTTCCTTTTTGTAAATTTAAGCTTAATGTGGATTGCTCTCTCCATGGTAGTTAAGGGTATGTTGTGGAGGTCTTGTTAAGGGATAATCAAGGAAAGTTTTGTGCAGACTTTGCCAAGAAGGTAGGCTCTTGTTTGGTCATTGAATTAGAGTTATTTGTTCTTCTTTGTTTGGTCATTGAATTAGAGTTATGGATTCTTCTTTTATGTCTTAGGTTGATTAGATATCTCAACTTAAAAGAAGTTTTGGTTGAAATGTATTCTAAACAATCCATTCAATTAGTTCAATCTGGTGTTTCCATAAATAACATATTGCATTATATTATTAGGGAAATTTCTTTATATATAAGTTTAACTAGAATTGTTAGTCTTTATCATATTTTTAGGAAAGCTAATAGTTGTGTGATTGGCTCTAACTGAACTTTTGATAGGTCAAAAAGTGATATTATTTTGGAATATCCTCCCTTCTAGCTTGTTCACATCCTAAGAGAGGATGATAGGTGAATTTGTTTTCCTAGTTTGTTTAGGTAATCTTTATTTTGTTTGGGCATTTTGTCCCATTGATAATTATATATATATATATATAATTGTGATTTAGCTAACAATATAATAAAGTATGCATGAACAATGACTCTCAAACGAATGTTGATTATATACCATATTTAATAAATGTAAATTTTTTTTATTTATATCATAATTTGCATCATCACTATTATTTTTATGTTTTTTTTCAAAGTTATTATCATCATTAATTTTATTAATATTTTGTTTTCATTCTTTCTTTCTCTAAAATTGTGATATAGTCAAGTTCTTCCTTCTTATAAACATATTTGTAAATGTCAATATTATTTAAAAAAAATAACAAAAGATAATATATAACTCAATGGTAAGAGTTATGAATATAATTTTGTTGATATATTTTAAATATTTGTTAAACATCATTATTGTTGATTATTAGAATTACTTGGTATTATATGAAATTGTAAAAAATTAAGATAAAACATCTATATATTAGATTTTTTACTGTTTTTAGAGTCTTGACCTCAATAAATTGATAAGAATAATGCTAGCAACACACTATTTGTAATACATTTTTTATTATTAGTTAAAATTTATTAAAAACTATAAAATCACATAGTTCTCGCTTCATAGTACTCCTGAATTAATGTTTGTTTCTTAAATATTTTTTAATAAATTTTAATTAATAATAAATATGTATTACGTTACTGCATTGAAAAAGTTAATATTTTAGTTTTCTAAATAATATATTATATAAAAGATATAAATATATTAACTTCTCGCATATAAATATTAAACTTTAAACTCTAATAATATCATCATTAAAATATACTATTATATTTGTATTTACTTTTTTTTTTTTGTCAATTTTAAAACAATTTTTAGAATAAGGAGATACTAAATTTATATAGCTAAATATTTTTAAAAAATACCAATAGTAATTTTTAAAACTTATCAAAGATAAGTTTTAAATAAAAAAAAAATCTACTCTAAAATTCACTAATAACAAATTTTTACTTGACAAAAAATTACTTTTTGTAGCTTTAAACTCGCCAACAATAATTTTGGTTTTTCTTTATTAGCTTCCCGGTATTAACACCATTGACGACTTTTAATCATTCCCCATATTCTCGTATTTTCTTTTAAAATATTATATTTTGGTAAATTTAATTACCAAATCCTATATTAAAGAAAAAAACTTGTATGTGTTATTTCTATCTTTTATGATGTTTCATAATTTAAACCTTATTAATTAAAAATACCATTCAATTTACTAGATAATTTAAAAAATAGAATGGTAAGTGTTTTGAGATGTTTTTTTATTTTATTTCTTAATATTCTTTTAAAGATCTACAGAGATAATATAGCAGTGTCACTGTAGAGGTTATAAAATTTCAAATTTGGTCCAATGATATCGAATTCAATTATTAATAGAACGGTCGAAACAAGTTAATACAAATTTAACTGTTTGTTCAACAGATGAATTTTAAATTTGGTGATTAGTTGAAATCAATGTATTTAGATTGGGTTTTAACCTTCAGCATTCTTAGTGGTTAATGCCTTAATGGTTAAGGCTTTTTTTCTATTATTATTATTATTATAAAACAAATAATCAAATTAATATTTTTTTTCAAAATAATTCCTTGTCCATATGTGAATGCTAGGTATCAAAGGTTATTCTCTTTATCTTTTTTTTTTTTTCCTTCTCTTCCTCTTATTCTTTCTTCTTTCTCTTGTGTTAAAGTTATTCTTATCCTTCATATTTTTTTTTCTCTAAAAATTTATGAAGTGTTAGAGCTAATTTATGATATTTTGTGTCAATCTTTTAACTTTTATTTAAAGTATTAATTATTTATATGTATGTTTAGATATTATTTATTATTTTAATATTCTAAAATATAATATAAATCTAATTTTGTAATTTGTTAACTATTGCGGTTTAAAAATTATGTACCTTTTTTGTGAGTGGGCACTGCTAAGAAATGTATTGTAGCAAAGGTTAGTAACAAAATTTAATTTTTAAAATTTTTAATATTTTAATTTAGATTGTGTTTATATTTAGGAAAACCATTAAATCAGTTTAATAAAAAAATAGTTTGTAATATAGTTTAGGGTAAAAAATAATGTTATTTGTATGATGTTGAATATTACATAGTTTTAATTTTTTTTAATTGTAGCATAGTAAAATTAGAGTTAATTAAGAAAAGTGTATAATAATAATTTACTATATTTAATTTAATTGTATCGTTTTTATTTAGCAAAAATTATTATTCATTATGTAAATTTTAAATGTTGTTATTCAGTAATAATTTGTATTAATAGATATTTTAATAATTTTATTTATTTAATCAAGATGATGTATTAGTTATTTGTATGTAGATTGATATTTTTGTATTAATAATTATGTTAAAAATAAATATTTTTTAATTAAGATATAATAATTATTTAAATGTAATGCATGTATATATATATAAGGCTATAAGTTGCAAAACCATAAGTTAATTTAGAACATCTCCTTGCCAATTAATGTAATTTAAGTAAAATAAGATTATAACATCAACATGTTATTGTTGTTTTATTTTATAGTCGAAAAGTTTCGTTTTAGTTTAATCCCACCAAGTGCTTCTTGTCAACTTTTCGATTAATGCTTTGTTTTACATATTTTATTTAATTGGCGAAAATTGTTTTGGTTTTAAATTTGATTATATACATAGATAGTTATATACTTACTGAAGAACTTATCAAATAAAATCAAATCAGATCAATCCCTCTTCATAATTATTATAGTTTAGTACTGTTTAAGACAAACTGGTTATATAAATTTAGTTGTATAAATTCATCTTAATACTTTTATAATTAGTTTGAACTTAAACTTAGTTTAGATCAAAATTTGTTCTAAACTAGTCATCGTGTAGTATTTTTAAAATTTACTTGAAATAGAAAAGAGAAAACTTAGCACACTCCTTAACTACTGTAATAATGATCGCTGCATATAATTTTATCTTTATTCAATAACTATCACTGAATTTTAGCATGTGTGCCTCAAAGGGATTTGTTGCATTTTGCATCATATAATTATCTAATTGCTTCCAAGACCTCACCATATCTTTTTGGTCCTTAACAGATATTTGCTAATGATTTATTATTTCATTTACTTGGGTTCGTTTGTAGAAAAATTAAAGAAAATAATGTGAAAAGGAAGAAAAGAATAGAGAAAGAAAAATGAAGAAAGTTTAATAAAAAGATATTTTAAATTAAAAAAATATGTATTTAAAAAAGTTTATAAGTCACTCTCATTTAAAAATATTTAAATAAAAATTGTTACTAAATAAACTTTTTTCTTTCTTCATTTCTTTTAAAAGAAAAAAAAATATTAAATATTGATTTTAACAAGGAACTTCGAACGCACGTGGTCCATGATAAATAATATTTTTTTACGTAGTCTTGTCGTTTTCAGTTTTCAGGGTTTTCGATTACTCTCAGTCCATCACTTGGGACTGTCGTTTATACTGTTAACTAAAATGTACGAATTTAATTTTTTTTTAAATTAATTTGAATATATTGATGATATAAAAATATACTGTTATTTAATTATAAATTATAATATTAATAAAATTTATTAATTTGTATAACAATATAAAAACTATATTTATGATATATTTTAATTAATCAATAATATAAAAAAAATATACTGATATTACACTAAAATAAAAAGTGGTGCTCTTCGTAAATTTAGTCGATGATGAAATGGTACGCATGATGAATAATGCTAATTTACTTGGACAATATAACAATGGTAATAGCAATGTTGAAATACCAATAGTCCTATTTTCAATCAAGAACAACATATTGAGGATTGATAATAGTAAATCAAACGATAATAGATAATGATATATATAATTAGACATAATAGTTAGAATATATCCAAAAGCAGAAAATAATGGACATTCTTCATTTATTTTCAAACAAGTAATTAACATGAGATGATCAAGAGTAGATAATAGATATAAATTATGCACGAAACCCTGGAATTTAAGTACTAATGCATGCGTAAGTTACATCTTGTAGCGTTCCAGTAAACATGTTCTCTGTGTTGCAACATATATGGTTCCAAACATAACACTAGGATCGAGGTAGAGGAATAGGCTAAGGATGAAAAGTTTTAGGAATCAAGACCAAATCATCTTTTTGCCTAACTGTGATTCCAAAAACCTCACTCATGTCCAAATCTTCACTTTTCATTCCATTGGGAAGTTTCCAATCAAAATGATAAGTCAACAAAGCAAGTGCATACTCAACATTGAGGACGCCAAAGGTGAGGCCTGGGCACATTCTCCTTCCAGAACCAAATGGGAGGAACTCAAAATTGTTGCCTCTGTAGTCAATAGAACTTTCCATGAACCTCTCAGGATAAAACCTTTCAGGCTCATTCCAATGTTCTGGGTCTCTTGCAATTGCCCAAACATTGACCATGACCTTGCTTTTCATAGGTATATGATACCCCTTTATCTCACAAGCTTGTCCACACTCTCTTGGAAGCAAAAGAGGGCCAGGAGGGTGTAATCTCAATGTCTCTTTGACAACACATTTCAAATATTTTAGATTTTCAAGGCCACTTTCATTAGGCTTTCCTTCTTTTTTAAATACCTCTCTCACCTCAGCTTGTACCCTTTTCATTATACTTGGATTTCTAATCATTTCTGCCATTGCCCATGTTATGGTAACTGATGATGTATCACTTCCACCGCCAAAAATATCCTTCAAAATCATCGCATCAAGTCAAATTGTGTTTTGTAGGAAATGTTTGGAGCAATGTCGGTACTCATTGCAACTACTTTTGGAATAATACACAAGAAAATTTAATACACTACCAAGTATAAAGAATTTGTCAAACATAACAAGAAACAGAGAGAGCACAGAAAATTAGAGGTTGAAATTCAGTACCCTACACTAGAAGTTAATTATGCTTTAATAATGATGTTATATAATTTTATTAATGGAGATGACTAAGACGTTTGCTAGCAGCTTTACATTCATTGCTCACATCAAAGAAAAGTGTATAAAGAAAATATAATAAATGGAGGCATAGAAATTGCAAGGAATAAGGAACTCTTATTGCAATTCGATGTGAGCTTTCCAAGTCATCCAATTACACACACCATGCGAGCACTGCATAACTTTGCATACGGTCAATACTGCATAAGCTTTGGTGGATGAAATCTTGAAGAGAGTGTGAATTTTTTAATGTTCATTATTGAATAAAAAATTATTCTTGAAAAGCTAAGCATTTTGCTACAATAAGCATAAATATTAATATGACTTATTTAGACTGTAAAATAAATAATTTATCTTTTAGAATGAATTTAAAAATTTCTTTATTATTTTTAATTTTTTATATTATCATTTATATAATTTCTCTCATACTTTAATCTCAATTTAAAATTTTTATTCTTATATATATATATATATATATATATATATTTTAATTTTAAATTTTTTCATCTAAATATTATTTAGAAGATCAAGGTTGGAGGATAATAATGATTTTAGAGATACTTTTCAGTAGATCGGATTAAATAACAAAATTTAATGAAATACTACACTGTAATATTTAAAAATTGTATGAATAATGATGTAACATTATTAACATATTTGCCCTTAATTATTGTGAGAGAAGCAGAAAAATACCCTTTGGTAGTTTTACTCTTTAAGTTTAAAAAGATGCATGGTGCATTTAGAGAGAGGGAGAGAAATGGATCTGTACTGTACAGTGACACTTTTATCAGAAAGCATCTTGAACATCGAAACTATTAAATTATCTATTAAAAAAATAAGAAATATAAATATTTTAATACAATAAATAAGTTAGAATGATCACTGTGCCTAGTGCAGGCAAGTAAATAACCACCTATTCTTGCTGCCGTACAATTTTTTAATAACTTTTTTTATTACTTCATAAAATGAATATTAAATAAAAAGAATATATTTATTAATTTAAAAATATTTAATTTTTGTCAATAATTAAGAAAAATCATTAATATAAAGAGTAAGAAGCTTTATAATAATTTTTAACGCGAGTATAGGACACACACTAAAAATTTAATAAAGCTTATAATATTTAGTATTATAAATACATTAAATTCTTTAATTTTATGTAATTTTTACTAAAATTTACTATCAGCAAATTAGTTTTGGATATCTTGAACTTGAATACTGATTAAACATGCAGACAGCATAGGTAGAAGATGTGAGTATGCTTACCCAGATCTGAGCCTTGATACTATCATCACTTAAGCAAAACTCTCCTTTCAAGAGCACATCTAAAAGAGCTTCCCCCACTTCTTCACCTTGCTCTTCTTTGGCTCTTGATTTAAACTCTCTATGCTCACTGATTATCATTTGAAGTATGTTGTCAGCTTTTTGGTGCAACTTCTCAAGCCTAGACTTTGTCCCTGAGATGTGTTGAAGCCATTTTGCAGAAGGGTACAAATCTGCCAAGTCAAAACCTCCAGCAACTTCTGTTGCATCCTTTACCACTTCTATTAGTTTTTCATGGTGCCTACACTTCTTACCAACTGCAGTTCTTGAAGTGGTTGTAAACAATGCTGACATCACTTCTTCTGTGAGATTGATGGGTGATCCTTCCTCTGAAGCAACCCTTTTGATGAAATTAGAAAACACTTCCTCTCTAATAGGTTGAAAAGATTGGACACGTTTTGAACATAATAGCTCCAATGCAAATATCTTCTTTAGTTGTCTCCAATAATCACCATATGGTGCAAATGCTATATCAAGAGAATCATAACCCATTATCTTGGGAGCTAGCACAATAGGCCTTGATGCAAATGTTAGATCATGAGTTTTCAACACCTCTCTAGCATACTTTGAGGATGAAACCACAATGGTAGGAACCTCTCCAAGCTTGAGATACATCAAGGGTCCATATTTTGCTGCTAAGTCTCTTAGCCTATGATGAGGAAGTGATGAGCCAGCAAGGTTGTGTATGTTCCCTATCACAGGTAGTTTCCATGGTCCTGGTGGTAAATTTGGAGTTGAATCTGATTTCTTGGTCACTATTTTGTGTGCCATAAAGATGAAAATGGAGAAAATGAATGCAAAGTAGAGGATTTGGAGATCCATTGGGAATAGAAGTTAGATCAAGGCTTTTCTGGTAGAGATGAAACCTTGTTTGCCACCCTGTTATATAGAGGGCACACAACCTTCATTGTTCATCTCTGTCTTTGGGTATTCTTTTGGGCATGATTGAAGATATATAATTAAAAAGTGACAATTTTTTGAAAAAATTATAATATTTAATAATATTATTAATTTTACACGAATTATTATATATCAATTTTTATTTTATTATTTTAATTCTTCTGTAAAAGATTTCGTCAAAATAGGTTTAAGAGTTAATCTGTACAATTTTAGGAACTCTTACCTTATTTGTAGATAAAATTTTTATGAAGGGAAGTTTTGTTGTATTTTCTATTACATAATTGTCGTTATTAATATTTTATTTCGAGATACATGACGTTTGATTAATGCAACAGCAGTTAAAAATGGGTCGCTTGTCGTCATAGAATAAAGCTAAAATCACGGATTCAGATTTTAATTTATTATAAGAATATAATATCTCAAAATCACGTATATGCTGTATTAGGCAATCAGGTTTACGTCTCTCTTTTTTCTTCTATGAACAATAATGTTGAAGTTATTACATATCAGATGACATTTTATAAAAATCAAAATTTTTCCATGAAAATTAAGTTACGTTTCATTGTCTTAATAAATAAATCAATATTAAGATGAGATTTGAACCCTTATTTTCTTCTTGTTTAAGTAAAGTCCTATCATAAATTAGATTGGAAATCTTTATTGTATCCATTGAAGGTTACTAGAAGTGAATTGCATGGTGAATTAAATGACCAAGGAAAGTTACTTTTAGTTACAATTGTAAGAGCCAATTCTTAGAAACTCCACTTACTTTTAGCCTTCTCTTTATATAAAATAACTAATTAAAAGTAATATGTTATAAATTTATATTACATTCTTAAATACTCTCTAAATTAAAACACAACTACTCTGACGATCTCTTTTCTAGCGTACTAATAATTATATATATATATATATATATATATATATATATATATATATATATATGTGTGTGTGTGTGTGTGATACGTGGATACACCATTTATATATGCCTCATCTTGGAAAGCTTTTTCTTCTTTGGTGCATTAGAACGGTTCTCTCCTTCCTTTTCTTTCAATCAAGTACTTAATGCTCCAACTTGGGAAACGACACATGATTATGTTTGCAATATAACAGTTGTTCAAGTGATCGTTAGGTTGGGGACTGAGTTGCAATATTGAATTTTAAAGCTATTTATTGAAATAATATTAATTAAAATTAATTACCTAAATAAATTAATTAAACATAGTTTTTATGTGTATAATAAAATCGAAAGGTGAAATAAATTTTAAAGTATGTAGCCTTAGGAATGCACATCATACCCTGATAGATATCACGTGACAGTGTTGGATGTGTACAGCACAATTAACATAACTGGACCACACCTTGAGAATTTTGGAGGGCTTTTCCTTTATTTCCTTTAATTGAATTATTTATACATAGGTTTGATTCTTTGGTTGATAGAATAGCAAAGAACAAGGAAGCTCCAGTCCTACTACTATCAACATCAACAATTATTACTTTTGTTTTTAGATTTTTATTTGTTCTAAATAATTTTAATTTTAAACCATTAAAATATTAATCATTTTTAAATCATACTCTTATTTATTAAAAATATTTTTTATTAACTAATTGTAATAATTTCAATATTTTTTACATTTTTTATTAACTAATTGTACTAAATAAAGTTAGTTGAAATTTAAATTAAAGTTAACAAATTTTGATAGTAAAATTAGATTTAATAATATTAAATATGAATAACATATCATTAAATAAACTTTATAAAAAAATGAATTTTATGAAGTAATTTAAAAATATATGTAATAATACTGAGCAAAATTGAATTTGTGACTGACAGGAGTAGCCAGTATATAATGACGTGTCCTTTTCATTGAAAGCTCTCAGTAAACTTTCTTGTCTTTTTGGTGAACCAAGTTGTTGCATTGCATTTAAGTCTGCGAGGCACAATGCCCTCACAAGTTCCAATTTTATATGCTGTCAACCTCAAAAAAAAATATGCTTTACTTTTTCATATAAGTCCCTGTCTGAAAATTTAATTAAATTATATTGAATTAGATTTTATCATAAAAGTTATAATTAATAATATTAAAATAAATATAAATTTACAAATTTTTAAGCTCAAATTTAAACATACAACTTTTAAAATAATTGTCATTGTCTATTTAAATATTAAATAAGATGAAGGTCGGTATCACAATTTTAATATATTTTTTATGTATTTTAATTATTATATAAAAATTATTAAAATTTATGTTTTTTAAGTTTTAAAAATTTTAATCAAAAATTAAAAGTGTGTTGGTACATTTACTATTAAATTTTACTCCGTTTTAGCATTTTCTGTACACTTTGAAATCTTGGAATTTGAGACTACAGAATTGATAATTTTTATCGTGCCAAATAAAAAAAAAATTGCAGATCACTGGAAGGGTTAAAACAAATGACATTTTATAGAACTCACAATATTTGTAAAACGAATAAAAATAAACACTTTGTTGTCAGATGAAAAAAGAAAAAGGAAAATGAAGATTTTTTATATGGAGAAAAAAATTAAATATCAAAATATATTAATTTAAAAATTACAAAAATAAAAAATTTAATTATTACTTTTTGAACAGAAAAATAATTATTTAGCACTTTTTAGTAGTTTAAATTTTTTATTATTTTTTTAAAAATTTAAAATTGGCGATTTATGATTTTTTAAATTTTAATAATTTTTTAATACAAATAATGATACTTTTTTTTTTATATTTTGACTATTTTATATTTAAATACGCATTTATATTAAAAAATCATTATTGATATTTTTTGAATTATTATATTTTATTACTTTGTATCTCGAGGCTGTCACTGAGCCACGCACCCGCACGATCACCGTTCATTGCAACTACCCGCGGATGCACCCCAAATATCTCAAAACTGTACCCAAACCGTTTCTTAAATTCTTCAACGGCACAGCTACTAATTATCAATCACACCGATAGAAATACCTATAACAAAACAGAGATTAAAAGGATAAAATATAAAATAAAATTTAAAAATGATTTTTTTGTGTTCTCTGTTTCTAGAAGTACCCATATAAAAAAACAATAATAAACACACAAAATTTAACTTGGCTTGCTACTTCTTACCTACATCTATTAAATTCTAATATAATTCTATTACTTTGTAATTTTTTATTAGATAAAACTTAAAGCTCCAGTACACTAAACAACAATATATTGTTGTAATAAATAAATATAAAATTAAATTTTATATTTATAATATTTTTTATCTTTTCTTTTTATAAGTTTCTTAATGTTCTACTTTAACTCAATATATCCTTCCATTCAATGTATATTAACTCAAAGGAAAAGTGGCACTCTTCATAATATTGATTTGCGAGGGTAATAGAATAATGATAATAGCAATATTCAGGAAGAAGAAATTGTTGAAAATATCAATAGGAATAATTCCAATCAAGAACGAAAACATAAATGACAACAATATATAGTTCATTATTATATGGGAATATTGAGCAAAATAGCACATCCAGTGGTGTTCCTAGAACTATTTATGATCTGGGAGACGTAAATACATTGACGAAAAGTTTACATATTTAATGATAACTAGTAAGTTTCACATATACTGTACGAATTTTTATCGATAATACATAAGCTACATCTTGTAGCACTTAACTGATGACACAATCAATGTGGTTACAAACAATTGCACCACTGTAAAGCTTGTGAAGGAGGTTAAGGATGATAAATTTTGGGAATCAAATACAAATCATCTTTTCGCCTAACTGTTATTCCAAAATGCTCACTCAGGTTCAAATCTTCATTTTTCATTCCACTGGGAAGTTTCCAATCAAAATGATAAGTCAACAAAGCAAGTGCATACTCAACATTGAGGACGCCAAAGGTGAGGCCTGGGCACATTCTCCTTCCGGAACCAAATGGGAGGAGCTCAAAATTATTGCCTCTGTAGTCAATAGAACTTTCCATGAATCTCTCAGGATAAAACCTCTCAGGGTCAATCCAATTATTTGGATCTCTTCCAATTGCCCAAACATTTACTATGACCTTGCTTTTGATAGGTATGTGATACCCATTGATCTCACATTCTTGTCTACACTCCCTTGGAAGCAAAAGAGGACCAGGAGGGTGTAATCTCAATGTCTCTTTCACAACACATTTTAAATATTTCAGATTCTCAATACCACTTTCATTTGGCTTTCCTCCTTTGCTAAATACCTCTCTTACCTCGGCTTGAACCTTTTCCATTATTCTTGGATTTTTAAGCATCTCTGTCATTGCCCATGTTATGGTTGTAGATGATGTATCACTTCCACCTCCAAAGATATCCTTCAAAATAATTGAGACCAATTATAATTAAGTTCAAAGACTAGGTCAAGTGATTTACTTGCTACAATAACATGAAAGGAAAGAAGCAGCCATATGGGTACGTAGATATGCTGTGCCGAAGCCATTAAAAAAATGAGTATCTGGTCTTTCTAGTTACTTGATGGTGCAGCATGAAAAATCTATGCATTTTGTGAGTCCTGAAACCCACAAAGTACTGAAGAGGAGTTTTTTCTTTTATAAAAAAAAATTAATTATTTGATGGGCAACTCTTAAACATGTATCTAAATTTAATAATATGTTTTTGATTAACTTTGTTGGACGACTTTAGTTGTCCGTTTATTTTTCTAGTGTTTTAATGAGAAGTATGCATATAGAAAAGATGGACTGTTAGTGAGAAATAGAAGTAATTATATATAGTATTGTAAAATTTAACTGTTTTAAAGTAAGAAGATGTGTATAAAGTAAGATTATATCTAGTGTTAATTTAATTAAAATACTTTGTAAATAAATCAACAGTTAATATATTTTCACTTTTCATTTTAAAATATTCTTATTATGGAAGAAGCAAATCATGTTTTACATGTGGTGAAATTTTTTTACTATTTGAATAATAAAATCGTTTTGAATGTTATAGCAAATTTTGGAGGAAACGCTTGAAAATCAAACTCAATTAAAAGCAGAATATACTAGTATAAGTATAAGGAATTAGTCCAACACACCAGCACAAAACATTTAAGAAAAATATATAGGTTTAAATCCGAACAAGACAAAAGCGTAAACGGCTTTTTGATTTGCAAGTTGAAAATATATTTATGTTTTAATTATTTTATGCCAAATTTAAAAGATGTAATTATGCTTTAATTGTTTTATGCTAAATTTTAAAAAGATGCATGGTATACACGGTCACCTAACTTATTTGGAATTGCGTAGCAAGAATAGTATCAAGTATTGAAAAAGGAAAGTTTTTAATTTTTTTCTTACACTCATTTAAGGAAGTGCCTTGGAGAAACTGAAGTTGTCCAAATATTATTTTTCTATTATACAAGTGTGAATTTTACTCTTTCTGGATCACTGTCAAAAGAGTAATTTATGCTTAATTTGTTTTAATATTTTACATTTTTGTGTTGATAATTTTTTTTAATCGGTATTGAAGTAAACTCACATTTAAAAAACTATCACAACTCAATAGCAAGGTAATTAACTAGGTAAGTTACTTTATAGTTTACCAAAGGGAACATAACTATAGGTATGTTACTAGTTTACCAAAAGGGAACATGCAAGTATTTTTCATCATTTTTCTGCCATGAAAAATAAAAATAGTGGAAAATATCAACATGCAGCTTACCCAGATCACAGCCTTGATACTTTCGTCACTTAAGCCAAATTCCTCCTTCATGAGCACATCTAAGAGAATTTCCTGCACTTCTTCACCTTGATCTTGTGTGGCACTTGATTTATACTCTCTATGCTCATCGAGGATGTTTTGCAGTATGTTGTCAGTTCTTTTATGCAACTTCTCAAGCTTAGGCCTCAGTCCAGAGATGTTTTGAATCCACTCGGCAGAAGGGTACAAATCTCCCAAGTCGAAACCTCCAGCAACCTCTGTGCCATCTTCTACTGTTGATACTAGTTCTTGATGGTGCCTACACTTGCTGCCAAGTGATGTCCTTGAAGTGAGAGCAAATATTGTTGACATCACTTCTTTGGAAAGATTGATGGGTGATCCTTCTTCTGAAGCAATTCGTTTGATGAAATTATTGAGCACTTCCTCTCTGATTGGTTGAAAAGATTGGACACGCTTTGAACCTAATAGCTCCGATGTAAACATCTTCCTTAGCTGTCTCCAATAATCAGCATAGGGTGTAAAAGCTATACCCTTACTATCATAATTTAATATCTTTGTAGCAAGAATATTAGGCCTTGATGCAAATAAAAGATCATGGGTTTTCATCACCTCCCTAGCATATTCTGATGATGAAACCACAATGGTAGAAACCTCTCCAAGCTTGAGATGCATCAAGGGTCCATATTTTGCTGCTAAATCTCTTAGTTGATGATGAGGAAGTGATGAGCCAAGAAGGTTGTGTATGTTCCCTATGATGGGTAATTGCCATGGCCCTGGTGGTAAATTTAGAGTTGAGTGAGATTTCTTGGTTAACATCTTGTATGCCATAAGCATACAAATGAAAATGGATGTTAAATAGAGAATTTGAAAATCCATTGGGAAAATAACACTTGGATCAAAAAGCTTCTCTTTGTCTAGTTTAGTGTTGGGGATACTTTGTTTGCAACTCTAATATATAGAGTGTGTAACCTTCATAGTCCGTCATTGAATATTGTTAATTAATCTCCTTATTTCAACATACATTACATTTTATTAATACAACAGCAGTTCAGAATGGATTGCTGGTCAGCATAGGGAAAAGCAACGGTTTTAGGATGCAACATTTTATATTTCATTATTTCATTTATAAATCTTTAAACACAATATACTATACACAATGAAAAAAAGGTGCCATATTCTTCAAAAATAAACATTGAAAAATAATATTTTAAGAAACCGAATAAATCTGTTTTCAAAATTTCTTAGCCATATTAAATAGCTAATAACGTACCGAAAAAAATGGCTAATAAAATATGTCAAAACTTATGTATAATGCTGAATGTATTTTTAATATTATTAAAATTAAGATTTTATTTTAATAATATGCATAGTAAAGCTCAATATTCAAAGTCAATGTTGATTAACAGGATAATATTTGGATTTTAATTGAATAATGATATTAAAATCACTTAAATATTGTACTTAAGTTTAATACAATACACTAACTCAGGGATTCTTATAGATCGTCGTGATAATTGAATGTGCATTTCCAGCATTTGGGTCAATGGCTGCTTAGGATTAGCGTGAATTGATGACGTCTTGTTAATGGAATCGTAAAACATTAAAACTTGTCTTAGTCATAACTTGATTTGAAACTTTTGCTTTGAGAATGTAGTTTATTCACTTAAAACAGTTCAACGTATTCATGATCGCAGCATCACCCCAATTTTTTTATCCCTATCTTTCGAGAAAATTATGTACAGAGGGTGTAGGGTAAAATTTTGTATATGAATGTAAATTTAAAATTTTTTATATTTATCTAAATTTTTTATTTAATTTATATTAGTAAATAATAAATTATATCTCGATAAATATAAGTTAAATAAAAAATTTAGATTAAATATAAAATTTTTTAAACTTATATCTATATAGGAAGATCATTCTTTTATATATTCACTTTATAGCACATACTTTGCAAGCCTAATTAACCAGACTAGTTAAAATAATGTATTTTAAGTTTGGTCAATTTATTTGTAATGAAGCTCATGAGGTAGGTTAGGTTTTAAGTTTTAAATTGCATCATTTTCAATAGAGAATTTTTCTTAGTAACCACGAGATAGTTGAAGTAATTTAAATAAGACTATAGCATTAGCATGTAGTAATTGTTTTTAAAATTTTTATAAAATTTTTTATTTTTAGTTAGCTTACATATATGTTTTTATCTCTATATTTTTGCGAGGTTTTGATTTAAATCTCTTTTGACTTTAATTCTTAATTTTTCTAAATTAAATATTTTTATATTTAATGATGATGTGATTATGAAAATATTAATATATTTTTAATATGTCACATCAGTGAAAAAAATGGAAAACAATAAATTTTTGAAAAATTATGAATTAAAAATAAAAAAATAAGGAACATTAATTAAAAATTCGCATAACTTTTAAATTTTAATTAATGATCGTCCATGAGATGATTCATTATGAGCGTTGTGTTCTAGGGAAGGGCCAAGGGGCCGAGAAGATAGGGGCGTTAAAAGTAAGGAAGTAGTTCAAAATTACAAAAGACAGCGTTCCATTAAAAAAGAAATAATATATATATATATATATATATATATATATATATATTAAAATACGATATTTTTGAAAAACACAAAAAATATAAAATTTAAAAATTATCAATAACAATTTTTAGTGTAAATTCAAAAATTTAAAAATAATAAATAAAATATTAAAAATCATCAATCATAATTTTTTTAAAAATATTAAAAGGTAAAAAATTTAAAATTCACCCGCATCGATTTTTAAATAATAATAAAATATTTGAAAAGTCCTAAAATATGTTAGCGACGATTTTTAACCAAAAATTATAGCTGACATGTAGTTTTTTAAAAAAAATATATATTTATATAGTTTTATAAAAAAATTCATATTTTTATAATTAAAGAAAACCATACAAAAGCCTTAAAATTGAAATGCCGGTACTCTTTGCTTTTTCTGTCTTTTAATCATTGTTTATTGTCTTTAGTCCTTTTTTTTTTTTTTCAGTTTCTATCTATATTTACGCGTTATAGAAGACATTAAAACTAAATTAGAAAGAGAAAAAAGCTAGCAACTAAAATTAAAAAACAGAATTAAATTAAAAGCAAAGAAAAGAAGAAAATAAAATTGAAGTTATTTAATCCTTTTTTTAATCTTGTACTTAATTCCCTTTTGAGAAGCTATTCAGTGGATCTTTAAAACAAAAAACAAAAAACTTCAATCTCAAGAAAAATTCAAAGATTAGTATAATACATTTAATGTTTCTTATATATATAGTTCAGCCTACGTCACATTTTGTCTCATGCATACGACTGAGCACGTAACTGTTATATATATATATATATAAACGAGAAATGTTATATACTGTATTTTATTTTGAAATAGGAAAAACAAAATCAAGTTGGTAACGTCGAATTTTCCCTCTTTACATAACAATCACTTAATTGTAGCTTTTGTTGTCGGGCTTCTACAATTAATATTATGAAAAAGTCAACATTATACACTCTTTAGGTATATAATCTTAGAATGTACTGTCTTCAAATTTTGACTCTGGGACAAATTTTAGTTTAAAAGTTGAGATTATATATTTTACTAAAATACTATTTAGTTGTTAAATTTCTTAATTTACAGATTTTTATTATTTATTAAAATATGAGAGTGCACTTATTTTTATATTTTTAATATACTTTAACGTGATTTTAATAAAAAATATTATTTGTTCGTTTATTAATTAATATATTTAAAAAAAAAACGCTTGTCTTGCACATGGGAAAAACGATGATGAGAAGTGCGACTAAAGTTGCTTCTTGATCAAATGATTTTCAGAAAAATATTATTGTATTAACGAATAATATAATATGATTATATTAAAAAGTTATTATATGATGAGAAATGTAAAATAAAGCAGTATTTTTGAGTTGAAACAAATTTTCCTCTGATAGAAGAAGAAAAGTGTGATGCAGATGAAGAGTTGGAAGTGGCAGAAAAGTCCAATTCCACCATGACTCATATACTTCTCACTTGCCAATTGGTCCCACAACCCGTGTCATGGCGTCGTTTTCATTCTTGGACAGGTAGTTCTGACGAGAAAAGACATCTCTTATGTAACACTCTTTAGTTTATTTCATTTAATTATAGATTTATATTTATTAATTAACGATATGAATCATGTTTTATTTATGATTTAATATTTTATTATTTTTTAAAATTTATTTATCTGAAAATATAGTCATATTTTATTAAAAAAAAATTTACATATCATGCAGACATATGTTTCATGTCATTTCACATTTTCATAAGATAGTTTAACAATTTTAACTTCAACTTATAGTTTTTATTAGAAGAAGAAAAAAAAAAGTGTTTTTTTTACTTTTAATTATTTTATAAAAGCTAATTGCGTTAAATATAACTTTGGCGAAAGATAAAAATAATAATGAAAGATATATGAAGAAAAATAACGTAAAAACTAATAAAAGTGTATATATATATATATATATATATATATATTATTGTATTATAATGTTTATACTTTTGACAAGCAAAACTAATACAATTAAAAATAAAGAACTAAAAAAATTGTAATGTTTTAGAAGATTAAAATATGGTTACTGGTCCTCTAACGCATAAGGTTTAAGTTAGGATGGAGTACTCAATAAAACTTTTTAATTTGGATGACAATAAAAATAAAAATTATTAAAATAAATAAATTTAGTTATAAAAGAACATATTCAAACTATTTTTAGGCATTATAATATGTTGAGGAACAATATAAAAACTATTTAAACATTTCTTTTATAATTATGCACTTTTCATTTATAATTTAGTTTAATTATTTCTTAACTACATAAACTATTTCAATATACTTCCATTACCTTTGAATTAAATGACTAAGATGAAATAAGTTTCAAAGTTAAATTGGTTAAATCTCAAAATTTTATTTTGAAATTTCTAACGTTTCTAGAAAAGTAATGAATAAAGAACCAAATTGGTTTCTGTAACTAATAAGATGATACTTTAATCTTTGAAAAAATATCATTTACTGCTTTAAGATTATGAATAAGAAATATTTTAGTTCTTTTTCAATTTTTATCCTTTTTGCCGTATGATTGGTCCTTCAAAAATGAATCCCACGAAAAGTTAGTTTGAAAATTAGTGTTTCAAACTTAAATTAATGGAAGGATCCCACGAATATTGTTGAAGGACAAAATAAATAATTATCTTTAGGGATATAGTATTATATCTAATTAATTTAGTAAAACAATGCACTTTTAAAAATCAATTAATTAAAATTTTTATAAATTAAATTTCACCAATTCAAAAGTTAAATTCAAAAACCAAGTTCATAAAAATAAATAAATAAATAATTAATCAAATATTTATTAAATGATTTTATTTTAATGTTTGAGTTTTTTAAAACTTAATAGATATAATTAAATTAATATTTAATGTATTTTTAAGAATACATGTTAAAAATTTAAAGATAAATTTTATTACACTAAAATATTTATTATTTTAAATTTATAAAAATATTAAATGTATAGTTTTATAGTAATTTTAAATATTTAATAAATATATTTTAAAATATATTCTTATCCATCCATTAAAACAACTTCGCTATTAGATTATGATTTTTTTTAATGAAAGATTTTGATGATATCAATATCAATATTAATATATTTCAAAATATTATTTTAGCGATTTATCCTTTTTAAATATTATCGTTTTAGTAAATTAATTTACTATTTTTTTTATAAACTACTTTTGACATTTATTTAAAAAAAAAAAAAAAAAAAACGTCTACGTCTGCATGTGACTGGCGGTGGTGTCTGATTGAGGTTACCGAAGCTTTGCCGAGAATCATTCAACTTTCAAACATCAAATTGAATGGGTCAAAAAAATGCAATCATTCAACGTTCAACATTCAAACATTCTCATATTTTTTTTATATGAAAAAAATAATTATATTTCTACCTTACACGTAATAAAAAACTTTTATACTATTTTAATTGATATATTATACAACACAATTTTTTATCATTTTAAAATTTTCTTAAAAAAATAATATTTTGATCTCAACTAAACTAACTTGACAAATATTTCTAAAAATATATATTAACATTGCTATTGATTTCATTGTAATATAAAATTTTAAATTAAATAATAATTTATTTTTAATTAATGAAATATTTTATTTTTTATAATATATTCTTTTAAATATTTTTATTTTAATTATCAAACAATTAATGTTTTATTGATACAATAATTTATCATTCATTTTAAATTAATTAAATATTATTTTATTGATTAATGTAAATATCTTCTTTTAAATAATATTATTTTTAATTATTAAATAATTAATTTATTAACTAAATTAAATATATCAATTAATAATATTAACATTTGGCTTTTGTACATAATAAATTGTAAAAAAATTTGTATGTAAATATTATCTTCATGCATTATTAAGTTTATTTAAAAATTAAATTATATAATAACCTATTTTATTAAATAGTTAAATTTAATTAAATTATAATTTTTTATTTTTAAATAATTTTTCTTTTATAAATTAAAATTAATTTTATATTTTTAAAAAAATTTAAATCATGTTGTCATAAGTGATCGAACGGGTCAAACTCGAGGAGGAACTAATGCAGCTTTGAACTCAGTGTGGACACCATTTTTCTTGTTTATGAGAGTGCCATGAAGTTGGGCCATTTCACAAGCTTTATGTGAGAGAGCTTTTATTAAGAGGAGAAGAGGTATTCAAAGTTGGATCACAACCATATGAAAATTTAAAATTAGTCTAATAAAAAAATAACACTAAAATTATGCAATTAAAAAAATTAAAAATCTTAAAACAAATAATCCTATAAGTTTAAGGGATTTAAAAAAATATTAAACTTCTATTATTTTATTGTGTAATTACTTTTTTTTACTCATAAAAAAATCATAAATTATCACCTTATTAAACATTTTTTAATCTAATAAAAATTTATTTAACAATCGTATCTACACTATTTCATAATTAATTAATAATATATTAAAAATAAAATATAAATATTATATATAATATAAAATATGGTATAAAATTTTAGCCGAACTTGTGCACTCCAACCCCACCCTGCTTTTGCTAGGCTGAAGGTAAGTCAGGTATGTTGCCAGATTTGGTACGGATATCAAACTATTCTAATTACAACATTAATATATTTATATAGTCAAAAATTTTAAGCTTCCTTTTACACTAATTTTTCTATATTTTTTAAATTACATTATTAATTCTATATTATTTTTTGGTCTTTTTATATCTATGTTTATTTAAAATAAATAAACCTCTTAAGAGGTTGACAATCATCATTTAACTTACATTTACATAAATGTATAATTGCAAATATTAGTAAGTGCTTCTATTGAAAACAATTAAAAGAAAGCATAGACCAAATTCACAAAATAAAAAAGATGGCAATGTAAAATCAACTGAAAAATCACTCAAAATGGAAATAAATCTCTTTATCACATTTTTAGGTATTTTGTATGATTGAAAAATAATTTTGCCTTCACTTTTATTTTCATATCACATATACTAATTTAAATTAATTTCTTTAAACTAAAAACAAGGATTGAAAAAGTAATAGCAAGGAATAACATTTTATAATATCATATATTTATAATTATTTTCTCTTGCATTTTATTCATATCGATTTTTTCTATATTTTTATCATATCATTCATTACATCTTTACTTTTTCTTTCTTCTTTTATTCTCTTTTTTTTCCAACAATTATTTCACACTCCTGTGAAAGCGTGTGAAAATATCAGGTTACCCAACTTTTTCTCCCCAAGCCGCTCAAGTCAAAAGCCTTCTGCACACAAGTATTTGCTTAAAGTTTCAAATTTTAAGGCATATAAGTAATTTTTTTTTACTGAAGAATATTCGCAACACATAGTTAGCATATTTTTTAATATATTTTTATTTATTAGTAAAGTTGTTAAAATAAACTTATTTAACTAGGTTAACTAGAACTCATCCCAGAAAATGTAGAGATTAACTTTTAAGTCTTTTTTAATCTGATACAATTAAGCTTGAATTAGATTTAACATTTTTTTAATATGCTAAAGCTTGTTGCCCACAATAAATTGATCCGAATGAACTAATAGTCTATTTTGCCAACTCTAAATATTAGTTAAAATTTATATAAATAAAATAAAAATTATTAAACTAAAAATAAAATCCATATGTTTTTTAAAATAATTTTTAACAAATCTTAACTAATGATAAAAAGTGCAGTAGTAAAATATGTTAATAATATGCATCTTTTCTATATTATTGTTAAAACTCAACAACAGCAAACAGGGTGCAAATGACTTATTAGTGAACATACAACCCATAAATAAAAAGTGAAAAATAAAAATAAAAAAATGACTTTATTTGCACTTATTCCCATTATTTTCATTGTACCTTTCAGCATGTAGTCAAGGTTTACCCAAAAGTAGTAACGCCTACTGAATTAGAGCATAAAAAAGAGTGTATGCACTGGCTTTAATAAGTAGATGAGTGATACATATTAGGAATCAAGTACAAATCATTTTTTCTTCTAACAGACAAGCCAAATGATTCACTCATGTCAAGTTCCTCAGGATTATTACCATTAGGCATATTCCAATCAAAATGAAAAAGCAAATTTGCTAGTAAGAGTTCAACATTAGCAATGCCAAATGTAGTGCCAGGACACATCCTTCTTCCAGCACCAAATGGAATAAACTGAAAATCTGCACCTTTGTAATCAATTGAGCTATCAAGGAACCTTTCTGGATAAAATTTCTCTGCTTCATTCCAATAGTGTGGATCCCTACCAATAGCCCAAGCATTAACAATGACCTTAGTCTTAGCTGGTATTTCATACCCATTAATTTCACATTTCTCACTACATTCCCTTGGTAGTAATAATGGAACAGGAATATGTAGACGCATAGTTTCTTTGATTACTGATTTTAAGTACTTCAGTTCACGGAGGTTGGCTTCTTCTACATGCCCTTTTCCGTCAAAGACCCTTCTTACTTCAGCTCGTGCTCTTTCCATCACACTTGGGTTTTTTACAAGTTCTGACATTGCCCACTCTATGGTTTTAGCTGAAGTACCACTTCCAGCACTGAAGATATCCTGAAAGAAATGCTATCGTGAACATAATTGCCAACAATATTTTTGCAGCACTACTGAACTAGTATATCTTATGACAATTTACAACTCTAACTGATCAAAGGATTCATTTTCCTATCAAGTAATTTCCATGGCAAACTTTTGTTTTTCAAATTCAAGAATCATAGACAGATTTTACTTGAGCCCTTCTATATGACTTTCTTCTTCGGCTAAACTATGTTTAGTCCATGTAAATACGATTGAATTTGGTTTTAGTCCTCTAAAATTGTTTTTGGCTCTCATAAATTTTAAAATTTCTAAAAGCGGTTCATGCTATTACCTTGTCATCTTAGAATGCTCGCTAGTGTAGCATAGCTTGATACATCTTAAAAAGTTGTTGTGGACTGGAATCAACAAACTTGTATTTTTTTTTTTTTTGGTAAGACTAAAGCTAAATTTAATCATATTTATGATGATTTCAAATATATTTAAGCATTCTTCTTTTGAATGTATGTGAGAGTGACTTGAAAGTGGAGTTTTCAAGTCAATTAATGGTTAACTAACAAATTGTATTCAAAATCCAAGTGTACTATGAAATATGAATCATGTTTTTCCTCTGCTTGCAGCAAGCACCAAACAGTTACAAAGAAAATGTTATAACCATCTAAGGCAACATAAGTTAATTTACATCTGACTATATCTATTTGGAGCTACTTCTGGAAATTATTTGATTTTTAATTGCAAATCACTAACCAAAATGGTTGCTTTGATAACACTGTCAGATAGAGGATGCTCAAGGTTGTTCTGCTTCTGAAGCCTTAGTAGGACATCAACTAGATCTTCACCTGCTTTTTCATTGATTTCCTTAGTTTCTGAACTTGTCTCCCTATGATCTCTGACAATTTTCTCAAGAATCCTATCTATTTCTTGATGTAGTTTCACAACTTTGGACCTTAACCCTGTCAAAACTTGAAGCACTTCAATAGAAGGATACAAGTCAGCTATGGAGAAACCAGCAACAACTTTTACAACATCCTTCATAACAGAAATGAAATCTTGTTGATATTCAGATTTCCCTCCAAAGGCTACACGTGATGTGAAGCCATAGGAGAATGAAGATATCATCTTAGTGAGATTAATTGATGACCCTTCATTCAAACATATCTCTTTAACAAGATTTGAAGCCTCCTCTTGCCTAATTGACTGAAATGATTCAACACGCTTTGGAGTTAGTAACTCAAAGGTGCAAATTTTTCTCATCTGCCTCCAATAACTTCCTAAGGGGGAAAAGCTCATGCCCTTAGAACCATAGGATAAAACATCAGCAGCAAGAAGATAAGGCCTATTTGCAAAAATGATGTCATGTGTCTTCATTATTTCTTTGGCCATTTCAGGAGAAGACACCACTATTGTAGAAAGTCCACCAAGTTTAATGTGCATGAGAGGACCATATTGTTGTGATAATTTAGCTAGGCCTTGATGAGGCATTGCACTAAGCTGGTGCAAATTTCCTATGAGAGGAAGTTTTGGTGGTCCTGGTGGCAACTTGGAGCTTGAAGGCTTGGTTTTTGTTCTCCAAAATATGGCAAACACTGTGAACAAGAAAAGGAAGAAGGTTATGATTGCAGGTGAGGGAATACTCTGGGTACCCAACTCCATGATTGTGAAGGAAAATTTGTCATATCAGATGTCAGATTCTATAACTTAAAAGTCATGGCTAATGTAGGCATTTATTTTAATTATATTTTAGAATAAAATAAAATGTGACATCAAATATGTACTTTAGTTCATTTTTGTTTGTCGAATTGATGGGATTTTCACATAGTTTATGTAATTGTAATAAGATTACTAGATAGTATGTTATCATGTTATTATATTTTTAAAATACACATTAAAAATTAATAATTTAATTGTAAGAGAAAGACTTTTTCATAGCATTCCAAAACTATAAGACACAGCATTCGATTTAAAAAAAGAAAAAGATAGCAGCAATGGGTCAATTTGAAGTCACTATTTGGTGTCCTTCTCATCTATTTCAAATGATTAAAATCGCTTTCATGTAGTTGAGAACTGCAAATATAAGCCACTGGAAAATATGTTAACAACAATTTTAAATAAAAAACATTATCGCTTCCTCTTCGAGAATATACCCCATACCTTGTTAAAGTCCTAATGAATTATACAACATTCAATCTATAAAGTCAACTTCTATATATCCTAAATGAAATACTAAAAACAATTCCAATAATATAAATCTTTCCTCACATGTATTCTTTACTCTCTTTTTTTCCTTTCTTTTAAAAGAGTTATCCTTTTTGATAAAGTTACATTTTTTAAAGAAAAAATTAAAAAAATATATAAATTATTTAGAATTAAAAGTTAGACATTACTTTGAAAGATCATCTAAAGAATAATTTTTTTTTATAAAATTATCAAATTAACTAATTTATCAAAGTTAATTTTATAAATATGCACATAAAAAAATTTATATAAAACGATGAATATACTGTAAATAATATTTTTTCTTAAATTAGTTAATAAAATCTAAAACAAATATTCAATTTTTTCTCTTCAAATAGAATATTCCTTATCAAAGTTTCATCTTTAGTATTCAGACTTATATATATATATATATATATATATATATATATATATATATTCAAAATATGCTCAAGTTTTTTTATTTTAGTTTACATATTTTAAAACTATAAATTTTAGTTTACACATAATAAAAAATTGACATGTGATAATATTTGAATTAATTATGTTATTATGTTATATTAACAGTAAATAAAGATTAAAACAAAATTTTTAAAAAATATAAGAACTAAAAAAATAAATTTCTAAAATAACTATTAAATTTTTAAATATTCTTAGGTCATCATTTGCATTTATATGCAGGACAATTGGTGTTTGGGGTCTAATAATATAAATAACTATTAAAATTTTAAATATATTTTTATTTTACATTTTTTCTTTTTCCTTTTTAAAATTCTTCCTTCCATGAATTTAACACTCAAAATAAAGAAAACAACGCATGAGACAAAGTGTGACGATAACGTATAAGAATAAGATAATAATTGTCCATCTCACAGACCCCTCATTTGTTGGCTCTTCTGAGTAGGTTATCTTGTCACTTGACACGGCCATTTCTCTTCATGCACCACATAATTAAATGTGTAGGAAATTTAAAATTAGTATCTTTAAATTATTTTTTTATTTTGGTTTATTTTTACTTGTTTTTAAATTAATTTTATTTTTCTAAATTATTGTCATCATTATTTTTTCTTATGTTCAATTGAGGTGGTTAAACATAATTTATTGTAAAAATATTTATTTAATTGACATTCTAAAGTTAGAGAATTAAAATAAAGTAAAAAATAAAGAATTAAAATAAAATAAAAGATAAAATCTGAATATTCAAATAAAATAAAAAAGCTAAATTACTAATTTCGTCTTTAATAAATTATTATAAAGAGAATACAAAATATATATTCTCATAACATTCATAGTTTTTCGTTTCTCTTATTTATAAATTATATAATTTAAAAAAATTTCACATATAATATTTTCATGTTATAAGAAATTCTAAGGTAATAAAAATGTCAAAATACATTAAAAGTCTAGAAACTGATTTAGTAAAATGAGACCTCTGACGATGTTTTATGAAAAGTAAATTTTATCTATTCAACAGTTAATTTTTGTAGTATTTTACGAAAATCACTTGTATAAAATTTTATACAATTTTAAAATTGATAGATATGTAATTAAATAGTGATTATCTATTTATATTTTAATAATATATTATTTATTAAAATATAGTATGTTGATGAAGTATTGATTGTATTTAAATGTGTATTTGAAGGAAAAATGAATGGAATTTTTTTTTTCATTTTAAATCAATCAACTTGGTCTACTTATACAAAAATTCGTTGAGGTTAAAAATATCAAGACCACCCTCTTAAAAGCCATCTATGAATAAGTAGTGCATTAATTGAATAATATAATTTTGCATGTGTTGGCCAAGGATTAAACTAAGTAAAAAAAGGATGAACCATTCTCATTACAAATCTACAATTGACAACAAGTTTCTATATTCATAGCTCTAGCTTTCTTATTTTTCTCCCCTCTAATATTTTATAGAGCATGTGTTCCTAAGGATGAAAAGTGATAGGAATCAAGTATAGATCATCCTTTCGACAAACTGATATCCCAAAAACCTCAGTCATATCCAAATTCTCATTCTTCATTCCATTGGGAAGTTTCCAATCAAAATGATACATCAACAATGCTAGTGGAAACTCAACATTGGTTAAGCCAAATGTTAGGCCAGGGCATATTCTTCTTCCACCACCAAATGGAATGTACTCAAAATTATTGCCTTTGTAGTCAATAGAATTTTCTATGAACCTCTCAGGATAAAACTTCTCAGCCTCTGTCCAATGATTTGGATCTCTTCCAATTGCCCAAGCATTGATTATGACCTTGCTTTTCATAGGTATATGATATCCATTGATCTCACAAGCTTGTCCACACTCTCTTGGAAGCAAAAGAGCACCTGGAGGGTGTAATCTTAATGTCTCTTTCACAACACATTTCAAATATTTTAGATTCTCCATGTCACTTTCATTGGGTTGTCCTTCTTTATCAAATACTTCTCTTACCTCATCTTGTACCTTCTTCATTACTCTTGGATTTTTCATCATCTCTGCCATTGCCCATGTTATGGTAGTAGATGATGTCTCAGTTCCACCTCCATATATATCCTTCAAAACAGTGACATCATGTTAATTAATTGTTTCATAGACACTTAAGGACTTGGGTGAGCAAAATATGATAGGGAAGGACAAGATATGGAAGTTGGATGATGATGGAATACAAGTAAAATAGACTCATTATATCTTGTTGGTTAAACAAATACATTAACCAACACTAGAAATTAGATAAAATAAGAACATATATCATATCCTATTTTCTTATTTTATCCACCAAATAGATCTGAAATACAGTTATGAGACTGGGTAGATGGTACCCAATATAACAAAGACTAGATTGTTTAAAATACCCTGTTGCAATTTTTTAGGCAACAAGTTAAAGTGAAATTCTTACTACAGAAATTAGAAATGAAAGAAACAGCCATATGGGTACTGAATAACACACATTATTTAAGGCAACTATTAAACATTTTATCTAAAATTTATAGGAAACGTTTGAAGGAATATCGATATTCATTTTAACTGCTAACTAATTTTGGAAGAATACTCAAGAAAATCAAATGAACCATAGATAATATCATAATACACAAAAGGGCAACAAATTAATCTAATAAAACGAGAAACTGAGGAATTATAGTAAATTAGAGGTTTCAAACCTGTATATATACCACAACATCGTACAAAAATTTGTGCTTTGAAAGTTGAAAATCACTTATTATGTGCCAAGTAAATGGATGCATAGTGTCTTGGGTCAACTAATAGTACCAGAATTTATTTTGAATTGCTAAAAGTAATATTGAGTAGAGAAAAAGAGTTTTTAAAATATTTGATATTCGTATTTGAGAAAGAAGAAATTGAGTTAAAAAAATTAGTGTAGATACTATTTGCTTACTCTAGAAGTATGCAAATTTTACACTTTTTCTATGTTTATCTAGAAGTTAACATCCATATCAGAAGTTATCAGAAAATAGTAGCAAGTTATTAAAAAGTAAGGAAATCACAAGTTACTGGTTTACCATAGGGAAGATATAAATTGTTAAAAACTTTTCTACTGTGCTAATAACATTGGTGAAATATCTCAATATGCTTACCAAAATCACAGCCTTGATACTATTATCACTTAAACCAAACTCTTGCTTCATGAGCACATCTACAACATCATCCTCCACTTCTTCATCATGGCCTTCTTTGGCATTTGACTTGGCCTCTCTATGCTCATGAATGATGTTTTGCATAATCCGATCGGTTTGTTGATGATACTTCTCAAGCTTAGGCTTCAACCCAGAGATGTGTTGAAGCCATTCAAAAGAAGGGTACAAATCTCCCAAGTCAAAGCCTCCAGCAACCTCTGTGGCTTCCCTTACTGCTGATATGAATTTTTTATGGTCCCTACACTTGTTACCAAGTGCTGTCCTTGAAATGATTGTAGATATTGTTGTGTACACTTCTTTGGTGAGATTAATAGATGACCCTTCTTTTGAAGCAATCCTTTTGATGAGATTAGTGAGCTCTTCCTCTCTAATTGGTTGGAAAGATTGTACACGTTTTGAGCTTAATAGCTCCAATGTACAAATCTTCCTTAACTGTCTCCAATAATCACCATAAGGTGCAAAAGCCATTCCAAGAGAATCATAACTCATTATCTTTGAAGCTAGGATAGGAGGCCTTGATGCGAAAATAAGATCATGGGTTTTCAACACTTCTTTAGCATACTCAGGAGATGAAACCACTATAGTAGAAACCTCTCCAAGCTTCAGATGCATCAAGGGTCCATATTTTGCTGATAAATCTCTTAGCCTATGATGTGGAAGTGAGCCAACAAGGTTGTGTATGTTCCCTATGATAGGTAGCTTCCATGGCCCTGGTGGTAAATTTGGAGTTGAGGTAGATTTCTTTGTCATTATTTTGTGTGCCATAAGCAAAAAAATGAAAATGGATAAAATGGATGTAAAGTAGAGGATTTGAAGATCCATGGTGGAAGCAGAACTTATGTCAAGGTTTTCAGTTTCCTGATGAAACTCTAGTTTGGTAATCTAATAAATAGATTATAGAACCCTCACCATCCATTATTGTGCATTTGATGATGTATTTGATGAATGCAACACAAAGTTCAAAATAGTCCAGGATGTTAACATAGACAAAAGCTAAAAACAGATATATATATTTCTATATATAAGATAGTGGTTGCGCTGATACATTATGTAACAAACATTAATTGTTAAAAACTCCAAAGCAAAATCAGGTGGCTTAAAAACTTGCACAACTTGTGGAAATCATTAAATTTTAGAGCAATCCTTCACATATATTATATGAAACTATAAGCTTCGTAATAATTGGACAAATTACAGAGTACAACTACACATGATACCCCTCACACTTTTATGTCCCTCTTACATGACATCTCACATGATTTTTTTAAAATTTTTTATGTCAATAATAGTAATATCATTGCCTTTGGTATCTACGTTGTCCTCTTCTTTCTATTCTACTTACAAGAGCATTGAACATCGTGGTTCTCCACGTCATACTTTTGCTATACTTAAAATTTTCTTTCTAATCCCATTTTCTTTTTCAGGACTCATGAGAGATAATGTCCTTGACTGCCACAAGAACTGCTACTTAAAGCCAAGGAAAATATCATTCCTAGATTTGGGGAAGCATAGATGTTGTTTCTGGGGAAGAGGAAATTCCCTTACAATATGTTTTTTATACTTCAATCGTCCAATTACTTTTATATATCTAAATACTTAGGAGTTAGCAATAGATTTGGAATATGAAATAATCCAAAACTAGAAAATGCAAGAAAAATTTAATAAAAATTTGATAAAGTTGGAAGGATTTGATAAGACTTGAGATTAGGGTATGAGGAGATAAAATTTTGAGATTTTTTTATTTTAGGTTTTTTGATGTTTTCGTTGGTAAATTCAAATAAGAAGACAGTTTAGTCAATTCAATTTATAAATATTTTTTGCAAAAAATGAAAATTTGAGATTTTTTTTTTATAGAAAAATACCAACAAGGGGCCAAGTTTGCTTGATTTTAAAAGTAAGACTTAATTAGCATAAAAAACTTGAAAACTAAAATTGCACATAATCCAAAGGATGGAGATAAAAAAAATGCAATTAAATTTATTTATTTTAGTTTTGACTAAAAACTCTTACTCTAATCTTTAATTTTGTAAAATTTCCTTCATGTTAAAAAAATGCAATAAAAAATGAAAAAAAAAACAAAATATTAAAATGTTTTATAAAATAAAGGACAAAATTTAATGATTAAAAGTATTTACAATATGAAAAGTGAAGCTTTACTCCAATGTTTAAGCTAGAGGTGTTGTTTTGTGAGAGTAAAAGTAGGAATGATATTGTGTCATGTATACTTCTAACAGCAAGATACTAATATATTCTCATATTTTCTCATTATCATCTTTGACTTGCATCCACCAAAAACTTCTCACCTCTAATGTAGACAGCATTTTATTTCAGTTAACATTTGGTCTCCTATTTAAGAGAAGCAAAACAATGTAGGGAAATTCTAACATTGTATTTGCTTGTGTAGTTCACGTCTCCAGCAAAGAAGGATAAGTGACGGGAATCAAGTAAAGATCTTCTTTTTTTATAACAGAAGCACCAAATTCCTCAGTCATGTCCAAATCCTCATTTTTCATTCCTTTGGGAAGTCTCCAATCAAAGTGATACAATAACAATGCAAGGGCCAACTCAACATTTGCAACACCATAGTTCATCCCTGGGCAAATTCTTCTTCCAGCACCAAATGGGATGTATTCAAAACTAGTTCCTTTGTAGTCAATAGAACTATCAATAAACCTTTCAGGATAAAAGCTCTCTGGGTCAGTCCAATATTTTGGATCCCTTCCAATTGCCCAAGCATTGACTATGACCTTACTTTTGAAGGGTATGTGGTACCCATTAATCTCACATGCTTGCCCACATTCCCTTGGAATTAAAAGAGGCCCAGGAGGGTGTAATCTTAGAACCTCTTTGATGACTGCTTTCAAGTATTTGAGCTCATCAATGCTAGTTTCATCAATCTTTCCTCGGCTTTTGAATATCTTTCTCACTTCAGCTTGTGCTTTCTTCATTACTCTTGAATTCTTTATCATCTCAGCCATTGCCCAGCTAATGGTAGTGGCTGCAGTGTCACTTCCACCAGTGAAAACATCCTGAAAGGTAGAAATCATATCAAGTTATATAATTAGTTCAAATTTATTATCAAATTTACTCTATCCAGTTATTCACTTGTTAACAATTTCATCCCTCAAAGGACTAGGTAATATTAACTCATATTCATATGCATATGATTTTGTAAGACAGTGGACATACTTACAAAGATAATAGCTTTGATATTTTTACTTGTTAAGTGAAAATCCATGCCACTGCTGCTATCCTCAAATTTCAAGAGAGCATCAATTAAATCCTCCACTCCTTCCACTAGACCTTCTTTGGTTCTTGACTTTGCCTCTCTATGATCATTGATAATGATCTCAAGTATCCTGTCCAATTTTTGGTGTAACTTCTCAAGCCTAGGCCTCATCCCAGAGAGATTTTGAAGCCATATAGCTGAAGGAAACAAGTCTCCTATGTAGAAACCTCCAGCTAGCTTTAAAACTTCTCTTACCAATGATATGAACTCTTCTTGCTCCTTGTATATCTTGCCAAAAGCAGCCCTTGAAGTGATTGTAAACATCAATGATATAACTGCTTGAGTAAGATTGATGACTGGTCCTTCTTCTGAAGCAATCCTTTTGATGAGGTTAGTCATCTCTTCCTCTCTTATTGGCCAATGAGATTGGACACGTTTTGTGCTTAAAAGCTCCATGTTACAAATTTTTCTAAGCTGTCTCCAATAATCACCATAAGGAGAAAAAGCTATATTTGTGGCATTATAAAACACTACCTCTGAAGCTAGAGAATGAGGCCTGGATGCAAATATAACATCATGGGTTTTCATTACCTCCCTAGCATATTCAGCTGAGGAAACAACAATGAAGAAAACCTCACCAAGTTGTAGATGCATCAAGGGTCCATATATTTTTGCCAACTCTCTTAATCTTCTATGTGGTGCAGACCCAACAAGATGGGGTATGTTTCCTACAATTGGTAGTTTCCATGGCCCTGGTGGCATATTTGGAACTGAGTAATCAGTTTTCTTGAGATTCCTCCTTTGTTTTAGTGTCACAATGATGAAGATAAAAATTGAAAAAATGGCTAATGGGTAAATTGTTAGAAGATCCATTGGTGGAACAATATTTTTCTAGTTTGGTGAAGAAAAGCAATTCTATGCATGTATATATATATAGACACTGAGCAAGTGTGTCCTTGGTTTCTAGCCATTCTTCATTTAGAATTTCACGTGAATTTTTTAATTTTTTAATTTACTATAAAGTATATCAATTCAGTGAAAACATTGGCATATAGCTATTATATCAAAATTGATGTGCATGCAGTAGCTGTTAGATTAAATTTATCATATTAATTGCATAATAAAATTTAATTAAGATTTTCATATCTCTGAGCATATTACTCTCAGTACAATTACTTCTCATCATAAAAGACTTTCCAAGTTGTGATGCTTTTCAGCTTTTATTTTTCGGCAATGAAGCAATCATTTTTACAAGTTTATAGCTCACTTATTGCTTGATGTTTAGGATTTTGTTTTAATGAAAAAAGGTAGCAGTGACTCCAATTATTATTTTTACAAAGAAAGTGCGAAAAAATAATATCATTTCAATTAATTGCTAAAACATGCACTCATTTTCACCTTCGTAATTATCTTTTCAAATAGGTACTGCTTTTAATGTAATGTCTTAATTTATTTTCTTTTGTTTAGATTACTCACTTTGGAGTGAACACCATATCCTCTTAGTTATTTTTTTAACCCAAAATTATCATATGTATTCACTTTCATTATGATGTTTTTTTTTTTTTTTTTTCTGTTTACACCGCAACAAAACAGTTGTTATTTATTAATAATTTAGTGTTTGATTAATTTGTGTCAGAAGTAGAAATTATTCTAAAGAATATTTTAGTTAGTATATTTATATATATTATCAAATATTAAATATTAATGTAATGCATTATATTCGTTAGCGTAGACTTTTAAAGTTATTCCATCGATTTATTCTTTTATTAGATAAAAATTATATTAACAAAGGCAATTTTAATTTCAACGCTTAACAATTGTATTTGTTAATAAATGGTAATTAATTTTTATAATGCCAGAATTTCACTGCCACGTCAAGATTATAAATAATTTTTAAAAAATATATTAGAATATAAAATAACATTTAGTATTAAATACACAAATCAATGAAAATAACTCTGAACATAGGGTGAACGAAGATTCATTTGTTGATGCAATCAAAGTATTGGATCTTAACGACAAACTTTATAAGACAGCTACTCTGCTCCAAAAGAAGAGGTCCAAATTTATGTATATATTATTAATTTCTTAATATTATTCCTCTGGATGTAATGTTTGATCGTATTTCTATAATCTATGTTTTCATCCTATGTTTTTGAAATAATAAGACATACCTGCCGATTATTGTGAGGTTTTCAAAGAAAATGAAAGATAACAAAACTCAAAAAGATTCACATAGGGACATGCTTCTTTTTGACACATTGGGATTTGCTCAACTTCAAAATATGAATCTATTAAGTATCTTTGTTGCAAGTGGAGTATAATAGGGTGTTTGGAAAAATTAATTATATACATAAATTAGATTAATAATTTTTTAATATGTATTATTAATTCTTTTTTAGAATTATAACGGGTTAGAGTATTTATTATATTTTAAATTTATCCATAATAAAATGTTAATATTTAGAAGAAAAAAAAACTTTAAAATATGAAATTTAAAATTATCTGAATATATTATTTTTTAAACTTTATTATTCTTCTCTTTTTTATGCAATCTTTGTTGGTAGTCTATGACCTATATCCTATGCTTTAAATAGAACATGACAGGCTAAAGCCTGTAGTTTCTCAATTACCCAAAAAACAATATACGTTTTAATGCAATTTTTATTAAAAAAAATTGAAAAAAGAAATTATGGGTCTTAGTTTAGAGAATAGTGAATATGTTTGACATCTTATATGATATATATGTATGATTTTCTGATAAAAAATTTCATTAAAAAGAATTCCCTATATATGTACTAAAGTTTGGGTGGATTAAAAAGGTGTGTATTTAATTAGTTTAATCAAATGAATTTAGTTGATAATTAATTTTTTAATGAGTTGATATTATTATCTGATTTTCTATTAAAATAGCGTATATACGCATTAGGATCGAGTCCATTTAATTATATATATATATTTGAAAACTAAAAATGTCTGATATTTTTGGCTTAACTAGATATCTTTATATAGACTTCTAAATAAGTTTATCAACCATTCAATCATGCTAATTAAAATTTAGCCAGGTTCAACCATTGATTATAAGTCACCGACGTTTAGCAAAATGAATCATGCTTATTTAGGTACAATTTAATTAGCATACATTGTGATTTAGGTGAAAAATCTAGAAATTATATCAATGCCCAGATATATTTATTAAAATAAAAATTTATAGAATTAATGTTGTTTATTAAAAAAATTTAAATCAATAGTTATATTGATTAATTATAATTTTCATAATAAGTTATTAATAGCATAAATGTTAAAGTTTAATGTGATTTTGCAAAGAAATAAGTTTACACACCACTTACTTGGTTCTTTGGACCACCTACTTAAGTCCTTTTTAACAGGAAAACTTTGAAGTGTTTGGGTATAATCCTAAAAAGAACAGTTTCCAAATCGTGCAGACAAAGAAATCAATATGCTTCATCAATCGAAATTCAAATTTTTGCAGATTAAAGTGGGCATCCAATTGAGACAACAAAAGAAAGCATTTTTATGCTGTTCACCTAGGAACTCAAATTTTTCCAAATTTAAAAACTTGGCTTTCAATATAAAGGTTAAACATATCACTGAAAATCATGCAAAACAACTATCTAATTTTTCATTTTATTTCATCATACCACATTTCTTATTAAGATTAAACTTAGGATAAGTAGTTACCATTAAAAGATGGGGGCAAGCAAAATAACATGTCCATACACTCTACCATTAGAGAAATAATATAGAAGATGGAAGAGAGGTGAAAATCAAAAGAAAATAAAAAAAATTTAAGATCTGTAAATATTTAACAATTTTTTGAATTATGAACTCAAAAGAAAATTACATCTCATGTAATCGGGAAAGCAAAATTTGGGTTTGAAACCGTCTAGCTCTTTCAATTTGATTTCTTGTTGGTCATAGACAAAGAGTATCTTTCAGGAGTTGAACAGAGAGGGAGTATTTTTATAATTTTATTTTCAATCTGTAAAAATCATATAACTCTTTTAACTCCAATTTTATTCAAAATTCAACTTGAAAGATTAGTAATTTTTTGCATGAGCATAATGTCTAAGTCAAAATTTTAAAATATATTATAATTAATAATGAAAGACAACAAACCCTTGAGGGTTGTTTGAGAAAGAAGTTTTTGGAGAAGAGGGGAAGAAAAGATAAATTTTATATTAAAATAAATATATTTAAAATTAATATTATTTAAAATAAAATATAAAATTAATATATTAACATAAATTTAATATATTAATCGTGTATATATTATCATAAGTGATATATAATTGTTTTAATTTAAAATTAAAAATTACGTCCTCCCATCCTTTTTCTTCTAAAACCTTGCTCTAATCATACTCTTAAAAAATGTCAAACTAGTATCTTAAAGAACATTAGTTAACAAAACTTTTTAAAAAAATATCTTAAAAATAAAGCATCTTTCAATGCCGTTATATTAGGTTCAATTGTAGTAACTTTATTCCTAACTATTGAAATTTTTGAGATTATTTTGAAAAAAAATTAGAATAAAAATTAAATTTAAAAAATAAAAAATATAAGCACAAATTATATGTTAACTAAAAAACCATAAAAGTATCAAAATTTCATCCTTTTCCAATCCTTCTTTGAGACAATGTGAGAAAATGATGTTGAATTGAATTAAACTTCAAGATTAGTCAAAAGGGTTAAATTATAATTGTAATGCCAATATTTAATTTATTTTTAAATTTTATTAAAAAAATAGTTTTTATATTAAAAAAATACAAATTAGTCTCTACCATTTATTGAAGTTATAACAATGTTAGTTATTTTTCATTCATAGACTAAAAAAAATGATATGTCATGTAAAGGTATTAAAATGCAAGAATTAAAATGTAAGATTTTTTATTATTGAGGGACTAAAACAAGAAATAGTGTCAAGTGTGGGTGGAACCTAAAGGTAAGGGGTTTTATTTATTATTTAGACAAAGTCTGATTTCAATTGACAGTAGATTGTTTGCCTGCACTCTGCAGTAAATATTATAGGAACCACCAGAGATTTCAATTTCTTATAGTTAAGTTGGTGTGGCCTGCAAAGGATGATAAGGAAAAGGAAACAAGAATAGATCATCTTTTCTTCTAATTGTGACTCCAAATTCTTCACTCATGTCCAATTCTTCACTTCTCATTCCACTAGGAAGCTTCCAATCAAAGTGATACAACAACATTGCAAGGCCTAGTTAAACATTTCTCAAACCAAATGTGCTGCCTGGGCATATTCTTCTTCCAGCACCAAAAGGAATGTACTCAAAATTACTCCCTTTGTAGTCAATAGTGCTATCAATGAACCTCTCGGGATAGAACCTCTCTGGTTCAGTCCAATAGTTTGGATCTCTTCCAATTGCCCAAGCATTGACTATGACCCTGCTTTTGGCTGGTATGTGATACCCTTGTATCTCACATGCTTCTCCACATTCTCTTGGAAGCAAAAGAGGAGCTGGAGGGTGTAATCTAAGGGTCTCTTTGACAACTAATTTCAAATATTTGAGCTCATTGATGCCATTTTCTTCAACCCTTCCTTTCATGCTGAATACCTCTCTCACCTCAGCTTGTGCTCTCTTCATAACTCTTGGATCCTTTACCATTTCAGCCATTGCCCAATCTATGGTTGATGATGATGTATCACCTCCAGCTCCAAAAATATCCTAAAAAGCAAGTATCAATAAGATTAAGCTAATGCAAGGATGTCAAAAGAGAGAGTTCAAAGACAACATACATGCTGCAAGAATTGTGGCAAATATTGTACAACTTCAAAGATCTCAAAAGTGAAAAATAAGATGTAAAGGGACAAGTTTTAAATATGGATTAAC